ACAGGAAACATGATTAGATAAGATAATTCTACTTTATTCTAAGATTACATTATAAGAATCTTGCAAATTTGATAGTACTAATCTCCTGTTATCTCTTTTACAGCCTGAGAAATTAGGGAGATTCTTTTCTGAATCTCTTTTTCTGCCCATTATGCAGCTGTGGGTTGTGCCCTTTCCTATCTGTTCATTCCATCTGTAGCATCTCTCTCCATCCCCCCCCCCCAGGTCATTTCAACATATCATTCTATCATCTGAACTTTGAGATGAATGGGACATCTCATCCACTTTGGTAATGTTGACTTTATTGTATGATTAGCAAATTAAGCAAAGCAAGTATACTGTAATCATGCCACACCGAACAGAAAAGTTGATATTGGGAAGCCATAATTGGAAGCTATGTCTTTTTGGCAAGCTGGGCTGAAGCTAATTAAACATGCATATAAGAATCCATGAATCTCTAATGAGTAATTTATTATAGAATAGCTAAGAATACATACCGAATGATTTCAGCAACTGCTGTGTATCATTTAGCATTTCTATTTATGATCATAAACATCCTGTTTTCTTCCCAACCACTCTTTGTCAAGGGCTAAATATGATCTTTTTTGGGCAGAAAATACAGTTTCCATCTGTTCTTTGTTTTGGTACAGTATCAGTCTGGGATGGACTGAGGTTGTATACCGTATTTCTGACCGGGTAAGAATTAACTTACTCATCATCTTCTTCAAACAATTTTGTATACAGCTTGAGTATTAAAATGCAGCATTTTGGTAAGGGAATAAACCAAACCATGGTACAAATTTTCCATGGTAAAATTTGTCACTGAAGGATGTATGAAAAAGAAGATCTAATGTAACCTTCCCCAAATTGGTATTTTCCAATTTGGGGGAATTAACCATAATTATTAGTCAGGAGAGCTAATATATCTTTAAGTTACCTACATTATAAACAGTTAGCGGTGACTGGTGCTGTAAATTGGACCAAGCATCAGTACTTGCAGATTTTTTTGTTATAATAAATATATTGTAATTTTACAAAATTTATTGTAGTTTTGTTACAACAAATAACAAAATATAATTTTGTTATAATAAATATCAATTGTAAATGAAGGAATCTATTAAGCTAGAATCTCTTCTTCAAAACAGTAGAGCAGCCTACAGCCATTTTCAATAGCAGTCATCACTAGCAATTAATGGCACAAAGCATACTGTAGGTCACATTACTGTATGGCAGGGGTGTCAAATTCACAACATCACGTGATGTGTTGCGACGTATGGTGACTTTTTTTCCATTGCCGGCAATGGGATGGGTGCGGTTTTGGCATGACGCATCCAGCCCGTGGGCCGGCAGTTTGACACCCCTGCTGTATGGGATAAGGTATACTGCACCCCGTTCAAATGAATGTTGTGCACAATTAATTGCATGCTGAACTAGGTCGAGAAGAATTTCAGCTACACATTTTGTAAGCAGGGATACGTATAATGAAATTGAAATAAAATATCTACTCTCTGTAAGTAGTGTAATGCACATTTGGTAGTGAGATGTAGGGTGATTTTAACCTGAGTTTGCCTCTGGTTCTGTCCATATAACTGTCCAGCATGGTACCTGGAATACCAGCCACCTTCCATCAGACTGTCCAGGGTTCCTGTTTAAAAGATTGAACTTAGGTGGTATGAAATACCCTGAGAGATTAGAGGGAAAATTAGAAGCTCGTACTTCTGGCAAATGAATGATTTGTGATTGACCATGCCCATCATGGCATTCACCTTGTGAATATGCCCATGATTTATTCTCAGTATTACAATTACAGTATTATGTTATCTGGAGCTTTGATTTTTCAGGCTGCAACCTTGGACTGTTGCAGGATGATAGAATGGTACATTAGAGGAAATATCACAAGAGCAACATGTTCCATTCATCTAATATTCCCCTCTCCAACCTTTATCAGATTTATTTAAGAAGTGCTTTCCTCAGAAATAGGGCAGCAGGATGTAATTCACTATATGCGAATGTGATAAAGTTAGGAAGCAGGTGCAGATTAACTGCATAAGCTATTATGCTAAATATGTAGAGGCCACTGTGTATTCAGCTTACTATGAGTTGAGTAATGGCAGGCTAGAACATGTTTTGTGTCCTGGATATGCCTTTCAGATGATAAACATGGGCACTATAACATTTGCAGATGGAAAAACATCTGTCTGGACATAAAACAAGTAGCTGTTTCTATACCCATGGGCCCTATAAACCAGTCCAATAAGCTGAAGGTGAATCACTGAATATATTTTTCAGTGCTGTTCAGCGTCCTCATAATTTTTTTAACTGTCTAATTGATTTTCAGGTCAGGCACTCATATTTTTGAGAAATTCCCCAGGTATATATTGTCTCAAGTCGGTAGGTTGAATGGGTCTGAATAACCCTCACCGGCATTCACATAACGCACACTTTAACAAGTCAGAAAAAAGAGAAGCAGATGCATTGGTGTAGCATGCTAAATTGGTTGAGTTTAATCTTGTTTAGCTTTTGTATATGTGCTTATCATGTTGTGTAAAGCCAGCCTGTTTGGCTAGTTTATGTTTCACTGTATTCTGTGATTCAGTTACAAGTTAAGTGTGCTATGTGAGTCCTATCTCACTTCTTAGGTGATTGCTCCGCTTAAATTTACATAAGTCAGGAACTCTACTGCAGTGTGCCTAACTTCAGGACCAACATTATGCCTGTTGTCTTGATGTTTGCTTTTTGATAGTATAGTTGTAGCTGATAGAGATGCAGCAAAAAGTCCACCTAACCTACATTTAAATGAATCAGCATTTGGACAGCTCCTTATTCACAGTCTACCCCAGAACTCATGATCTCTTGTATACTGTATGTATCGTATGATCTAGCCCAGGGGTAGGCAACCTTGGCTCTTTTATGACTCGTGGACTTCAACCCCCAATTCTGGGAGTTGAAGTCCATGAGTCATAAAAGAGCTAAGGTTTCCTACCCCTGATCTAGCCCAAGCTCTCAAATCTTTCAACTTGCCAAAAACAGAACCCTAATAGTAAGGTAAATGTGTTTTGGGAACACCATAACTTGGTCAGTAATGGGGCAAGAATGGTTTAGTTTTAACACAGGTTTTTTTTAAAATGAAAAACACCCAGTCAACTGTGCTTTGGGGACACCATACCCGAATAAAGATTTGGGGCAGATTATAAAGCCCTCCCAGCTGTCTTTCAGAGAATAGAGTTGGAGACATAAAGTGTTTGAAAAAAGGGTCTCTGCTTACAGAATTCATTGCATGACCTGATTGGCTGCAGCTCCTAAACAAAGTCTATTACTGCCTGCCTAACCATCATTAGGGCATTAAGCTTTGTCTTGTACACTCCTAGTGCAATAATTCATAGAACACCAGGTACTTCCAGGTGAAAGTGGCTAGGAATTTTCTATTCCACAACAAGGCAACTTTGGACCTAGTTAATATGATTGTGTGTTGCTAGAACAGCCAGTAACTACCTTTGGTCAAGTTAGTGACTGACTGGATCAAATGGATTGTGTAAACAGTCTTTCTGATAGATTGGGGAAGAAAGTGTAATATATTTTTTGAATTGTAAGCCACCTAGAGTCATTGACTGAATTGATCAGCCATAGAAATTGAACCAATAAATAAATAAATAAATAAATAATAAAAAAATTCCTCCCGACATGAAAAGCACTTATACTCAGCAAGGTATTCGACTGAAAAGCTTCATTACTGAGGAAAGCAAAACCTTTTTTTTTCCTGTTCTAATTGCTCCATCATCTTCCAGTGGACATTTCCCTGAAGTATTCTTTGGCTGGGCTTCCCAGAATGTGAAGCCATGAACCATCTTAGCAGCACTTAGACTATTCTAAGAACTTGTTGTAAAAGCCACAAAGTAAGATGTGACAATAGCATTTGCCCTTAGGCTGGTGATAGAAATGGCAGTTCTCCAAGGAGCTGAAGAAAAACTTCTACCCTCAAAAACACGCTATAGGGCACTGCACACCAGAACAATTAGACACAAGGACAGTTTTTTCCCCCATGCCATCACTCTGCTAAACAACTATTTCCCACAACACTGTCAAACTATTTAGTAAGGCTGTATTACTATTATTCTTCTCATCTTTCCTATTACCTATCTCCTTATCTCCTTATGACTATAACTTTGTTGCTTGTATCTTACAATTTGTTTTATTTAGTTTCCTAGTATGATTTATGTTGATTGCTTATTTAGTATCCTATGATTGTCACTAAGTGTTGTATCTTATGATTTATGATGAATGTATTTTTACGATGACTATGGTCACGATTTATCACTTATAGCTTTTATATACACTGAGAGCTTATGCACCGAAGACAAATTCCTTATGTGTCCAATCACACTTGGCCAATAAAGAATTCTATTCTATTCTATTCTATTTATCCATTCTGGTAATAAGCCATTTTTTTTGTTAGGAATGCAATCTGATAATGGGTTTTGTGAGTTGTTACTGGCACTTATAGGTAGCCAGTGCTATAACCTCAAGAGAAATATTATTAACTATGACAGGATTAATCAGTTGTAGATTCTGGATCATATCCAAAGTCTGGGTCATTAGAGCTCATTACAGTAATCCAGATGAGATCAAGACATGATTCCATCATCTTTGGTCCAGATAAAGTCATAACTGGCTCATCAACTGAAGTGAAGCAAATGCCACCCACCATGGTCTCCACCTGCTGTTTAAGTAACAGCCATGAGTTCAGGATCTTCACCCTTCTCCTATCCTCCAAGTATGTATCAGACTTCAGGTGAAATAATATTGGTTCCAGTGTTTGGTGTTCTGAATGCTTACTGATGTATAGCAATTCAATTATGGAGGGAATTAATCCGATTTTATTTTGTCCCATCTAGACCATGACATCCTCTAGGCACTGTTTTTCAAGAATAATACACTGGATACTTCATGTAAACATTTGGGTATTCTAATCTACTATTTTATCTTTCTGTGTCCCTCTGCAGGGCAAGCCTTATGTCTTTGACCGAGTCTTCCCACCCAACACTACACAGGAACAAGTGTATCATGCTTGTGCCATGCAGATTGTCAAAGGTCAGTCTGGGCATGGTAGAATTTCAGGTACTTAATAGGATTGTTTGGGTAGGGCAGCAGGAAGAGAATAAATAATATCCATTAAAAATGGCTAAGTTTATTTTTGTCCTTCATCTTCCTTTTTTTTTTTTTTTGGGCAGACGTGCTGGCTGGGTACAATGGAACCATCTTTGCCTATGGGCAGACGTCTTCTGGAAAGACTCACACCATGGAGGTGAGGAGGTTTCTAACATATTTTAAAGCTGGTCTATAATTAGAAAACACAGGCCTGATTGTAGCGTCTACAAATAGATCCTAGGTTTCAGGAATCAAACTTACCTGAAGAATTTGGGAGGGCTTGTTGAACTTACTGTCAATTCTTCTGTTCCACTAGGGCAAACTGCATGATTCCCAGCTCATGGGCATCATCCCACGCATTGCCCAGGACATCTTCAACCACATCTATTCCATGGATGAGAACCTGGAATTCCACATTAAGGTCAGAGACATACAAGGAGGGACTAGTGATATAGAGAGTGCTTATTACTTATCTGCTTGAAGCATTCTGTCCCATTCCTTAACTCCAGAAAGTTCTTAGAACATTGGGCAGGTGTTCCACCACTTGCTTTCATGCACCAACTAGTGCAGTTTTCCTTAAATCATGCCCGCCATGGCCAGGTGAGTGGAATACAGCTAGATGGTGCCAGTAGTCCTGTGACTTTTGTCTGAAATGGTATAGGGTTTCCTGCCTGAGCAGGGAGTTGGACTAGATGACCTCCAAGATCCCTTCCAACTTTATTTTTATTATTATTATTATTATTATTATTATTATTATTATTATTATTATTATTATTATTATTATTATTTCTACTACTACTACTACTACTACTACTACTTCAAATGGCAGGTTCTGTTATGCCACCTCTGCTAAGAATATTCTAGATCTATTACCAGTAGTTAGGACTGATAGCAACTGTACTCCACCATATTTGGACCTACTCGATTGATAGAAACTTGCTTTTTTTTGTCCTATTACTCTATTGTATTTGTTACAAAAAGGCTAAAAGCTTCACAATCCCCATCTGGAAGATTCAAGTTACCTATTTGGAATATCTGATATTGTATAGTTGTTTGCTGCAGGAAAGGCGTGTATCCTTGAGAACCAGAGCAGAGGTAATTTCCCATCTTCCCATTTTTCATTTTTTTATTCCTTCTCCTCTCAGGTTTCTTACTTTGAAATCTACCTGGACAAAATCCGTGATCTGCTAGATGGTGAGCGAGCTTCAAGGGATATGAAATATCACGTGGGGTGGAGAGCAAGCCAGGAGATAGAACAAATCAATGGCCTGGGAAGAATTTTGGCAATTGTGAAGATAGCGGGTAATTTAAATAAAACATATTTCCTTGGATTCATTGGGCTCTCTTGGACCCATTTCTTATTCATCCCCAGTGACGAAGACCAATCTCTCAGTTCATGAGGATAAGAACCGTGTGCCATTTGTGAAGGTGAGATAGTTGGGAAATTAAACTAAAATGTTCCCTAAAAAGATCAATACTGGGCAATGGTCAATCTCAGTACCAAATTTTATTGACAGAGGAGCAAGATTGAAAAGTCTGACTTTAGGTACTGTAGTACCAAAATCAATGAAAGCATTACATCTTAAAAGAAGTTTTGCTATTTTTTAAAATACCACATACTAGAGAGACGTAAAAATAGGATCTACAGCAGACATGTCAAACACAAGGCCCGGGGGCCGGATGTGGCCCGCGAAGTGGTTTCATGTGGCCCGCGAAGCCATTCTGGAAACAGTGAGGGAATGGCCCCCGCTGCCTTGGCCCTGGCCCAGGCCGGCCGGGAGCCAATGTACAATTTTGTGGTGGCCATCTATGCTGAAATGCAATCAGTCTTAGCTCCACAAGGCTGTCCGGAAACAGTGAGGAAACAGCCCCTGCCCTGTTGGCCCCGCCCCCTGGGTGCATGCTGGGGAGGTGTCACCCTTTGTGAGGAATGAAGAAATGCACCATGCCTTGGCGCTTGCCCCGGTCCCACCCCCTTCTGCCAGAGACCCTCAGATCTGTCCCACTCCTGCCCAGGCCCCCACAGGCACCCTTGACGCGAACGATGTAGAGCTGGTCATGCCCACCCAGTACGCCGCACCCACCCTGGCCACACCCACCCGGCCCCCCAAGGGCAACCGCAATGCTGATGCGGCCCTCAATGAAATTGAGTTTGACACCCCTGATCTATAGTATTGCGTGGGATGGAAAGATTCTCCCCAAAAATTCTGCTCTTCCTAAATATCCTTTTTTAGAACAGATAGACAAGCTCCAGATATTTTAAGTAATTATATTATACAAATTTATACATTTTTGCATCAATCTCAAGCAGCAAAACCAATGGCGAGGAATTGTGGGAGTTTGTAGTCCATTACAACCAGAGGGCACTAAATCACCCATTTCTGTTATTGAGCAGGACAAGTCTGTGGAGATTCTCAGTCATCCAGATCATGGTTATCTCAAAGGTGCTTTTCCCAAAGGCAACTGGACTTTGTTTTTTCCTTGAGGAAAGACATTTCACTTCTCATCCAAGAAAGTCAGTCAGAACTGAAGAAGCTTCTTGGATGAGAAACGAAATGTCTTCCTCAAGGAAAAAACAAAGTCCAGTTGCCTTTTGAAAAAGCCCCTTTGAGATAAGTCAGAAAAAGCTACCCAGGTGCAAGACTGAGGGACTAGGAACAAAGCTTATCGATTAACTGAAGGGAGTGATGGGATTAGGAGCAAAAAACTTTTTTCTTTTTCGCTTAAGGGTTGCACTGAACGGTTTGTCTCCAGCCCTGAAGAAATCCTGGATGTCATTGATGAAGGAAAATCCAACCGCCATGTGGCTGTCACCAGTGAGTTTTGAAGATACGCAATTGGGAAAGGATAATGGCATATGGAGCAGGCAGTTGGGGAGCCTACATACAAAGCAGGAAGAATCTCTGTTTCACTAGTGCAGGGGTAGGCAACCTTGGATCTTTTATGACTTGTGGACTTCAACTCCCAGAATTCCTGAGCCAGCATGGCTGGCTCAGGAATTCTGGGAGTTGAAGACCACGAGTCATAAAAGAACCAAGGTTGCCTACCCCTGCACTAGGGCATTTTCAAGTGTTTTTCTGAGAACTTTGTACCTCCTTGTTTTTGCAGATCCAGAAAGGCATCAAAAATGAGAGGGTTGTCTCTAGGTCAGATTGAGGTAGTTATTTCAGGCAGAAGATGCCAGGATGGGGTGGGAACTGGTGGCAAGACACTGGAAATCCTTGAGCTGCCTGTTTTGGTTAGTCCATAGGATCGAAAATCATGTTCTGTGCTGCAGGCTGCAAAAACAAAAACAAAAAACAACCAACTGGTTTCAGCTTTGGACCAACTCCTTCATTGGTTCAGTGGGTCATAGACTCTACAGACAGATCTGTACTGAAGAAAATATAAGAAAAGAAAGGTTCTAGTGCTCAGGGAAAACCAGAGTGATAATACTTAAGATTTTAAGGACCATGCTCTGAAGGACAGAGCCAAGACTCTATGTGCAGGCAGTGGTGATGTAACTTTCAGGTAGGGGCAGAGTTTTATAGTGGTGGGGGCAAAGGCACTTCCATGTTTAGTCCAGATCTATATGATGGGCTGTATGAGGCTGAATGAGTTCCTGTTACCGTATTTATACACTAATAAAAAAAAGTACAACTATCCCTTAAAGCAGGGGTGTTCAAACTTGGCCCTTTTATGACTTGTGGACTTCAACTCCCAGAATTCCTCAACCAGCGTGCCTGGCTGAGGAATTCTGGGAGTTGAAGTCCACAAGTCATAAAAGGGCCAAATTTGAACACCCCTGCCTTAAAGGTTACAGCAGCCAATTTTGATAAAGCTGAGCAGGGTTAGAGCTAGTTAGTTCTCGGATAGAGATTACCAGTAAATCTCAGCCTCTCCATTTTCTGTCCATAAGGATTCTTTCTGTTCTCAATTTATAATTAGGAAGCAGTCACAACTATTTTTATCACCTATTTTGTTTGGTTGTGTTTTTCTGCAACCCAAAGTATTGTACTATAGAACTTGTGGGTGTGGGGTGTGGAGAACATGGATTTCCTGTAGAGAGCTGAAAATAATGTAATTCTTAATATATTCAACTGGAGTAGCATTTTGATACTGCCTTCAAATGATAATTGCTTATTATCTCAAATCAAACCGTTTATAAGTTTCTGTAATGTTTGTTTTTAGACCTGCACATATGAGGATTATAGTAGAAAACAGACAAGTGTGTAGACCAGGGGTCTTCAAACTTGGCCCTTTTATGACTTGTGGACTTCAACTCCCAGAATTCCTCAGCCAGGCATGCTGACCCCTGGTGTAGACAAACTCATTTGCTAAGCTTTTTTCATTAATACTGCCAATCTCCATGCCTCAAAGAGCCCTCAGTAGGCTGAATATTGTACAATTTCAGTGCAGGGAATCTCTGCTCAGAATTTGCCTGTTTCTCTCTCTTAACCTTGCAGACATGAATGAGCACAGTTCCCGGAGTCACAGCATCTTCCTTATCAACATTAAGCAGGAGAACATGGAGACTGAGCAAAAACTAAGTGGGAAGCTTTACCTGGTGGATTTGGCTGGCAGTGAAAAGGTGCTTGGGGCTTAAAAGAGATCTGAGCGGGGAAGCAAGCCGTTTGATTTCTTTCATAAACTAAGATCAGCATCATACATAGGGAGCACGGTGGCTTGCATTGTTAGGAGCTGGGTTGGAGGTTAGCAAGCTCGTGTTCAAGACCCGACTGCTCCTATGGGGTGGGGTGAGCTCCCATCCTTCCCTCCAGTTCCTGCCAGGGACATGAGAGGAGCACCCAACTGGGCATCCCCCAGGAAATGGTGATGTCACCAGCTAATCCTTTCAACCCAGAAGCGTCTTGGTGCTTCTGACATGAGTGCAATGTGAGCATCAGACATGTACTGTATCGCAGCAATGCCTTCACAAAATATATACCTTGAAGTTAAGACTGATTAAAATGTCACATTCTCCTCTCCTGGGTATCAGGAAACCCATTATTTGAATGACGGGTCTCCAAGTCAGTATCTTAGGGATCTCCAGAGAGCTATGTGCCTTAAATGCAATCAGGTGGCAATCAGTCTGAATAATATGTTGGGAAATCACTGAATGGGAGACTAGGCCCTGATTTGCCAGCCATAACTCTCTGCCACCGAAAAGGAAATGATAAGGGTTTTTCTTGAGCTGTTTTTGGAGTGAAATACATTTCAGACGTTTGGGACAGTTACTTTTCATTGGTATCCATTTCTGTCCTAATTCCTTTGGGCCTTCTAGCTGGTTCAGTTGGTTTCCTCCCAGTACCTAGGAAGCTTGTTTATTCAGAGAAGAAAGCCTCATTTTGGATTTAGTCCTTATAACATACACATTTATCTCCATTATAATAAACAAATACCTTCTCCTGGCAGGTCAGCAAGACTGGAGCTGAGGGAGCTGTGTTGGATGAGGCCAAGAATATCAATAAATCTCTGTCTGCACTTGGGAATGTTATCTCAGCTCTGGCTGAGGGCACAGTGAGTAGCGCATCCCTTAACAAAAAGATTGCTGGCCAGTTTTCCCCATTTTTCCTGGTGCTATACAGATATATAAGGATTTATATATGTCAACCCATCTCAAGTCCATGCATCTGAGTGGACTAAAAACAATAAACAAAATGATAAATAACATAAATAGCAACTGACAGACAAAATTAACAATCCTTCCAATTAACACAACCCAAAAAATAAAAAAAATAAAATGACATCTACCAGCTGTTCTGGGAGTAGGGGAGTTGAAGAAGCCTGATATCTGAAGTTACAGTCCAAGAATAACTGCCAAAATTCATAGCTGATGTGACTTTTGGATTTCTGGGAATGGTGATTCAACAGGCTTGAAGAATGTAGCTAAAGCATCTGACACGATCAAAACTCCTGGAACATGTTGACTCAGGGGTGTCAAACTGGCGGCCTATAGGCCGGATGTGTCACATGCAGGCCACGCCCACCCTGGCTCCGCAAAGGCAAAAAATGTCACGATACGTCACAATATGTCACATGACACGATCGAGTTTGACACTCATGTGTTGACTGCTCTAGAAAATATGCTGTTACCTGTTAATTATTTGCTTCTGATGATTTAGGTTTCCTTTTCCTATCTGGAAGATAAAATTTCTAGATGAGTTTGCTGGTCCCTGTCCACTGGATGTATAGGATTTTTTTTTTTTAATTGATAAGAACTGTGAGTAGATTGGAATTTCTGTGGTCAATTTTGTCTGTGTGAAAAAGGCCAAATATGTTCCTTCCCATTATCTTATGCAGAAAAGCTACGTGCCCTACCGAGATAGCAAGATGACCCGCATCCTGCAGGACTCCCTCGGTGGGAACTGCCGCACAACAATGTTTATTTGCTGCTCTCCTTCCAGCTATAATGATGCTGAGACCAAATCTACTCTCATGTTTGGACAGCGGTAAGTATACCGACAGAATTGCTTTTTGAATGGATATTACCTGTTCTATCCTTCCCAATCTGGTATTCAGTACAAATTTTTAATATCAGGTATTAGCTAGCACTTGATTGGGGAAAGCTAATCTTAGTTTTTCCAAGGGGTAAAACAGAATTGGTAAAATGAATTACTAAATGGACTAGGATGGGGAAGTTGCTGGAAATGTACCAGGTTTTTTTTTAATATTAAAACATTATTCTTTAGATATTAGTACTTCAAAAAGTGGAAGGAAGGAAGGAAGGAAAGAAGGAAGTTCTAAGGAACATAAAATATCTACAGTATACTATGGGTATGAACAGATTTATCAGTCATTCCTTTCCCCCAAGCAATCCTGAGATTTATAGCTTGAGTGGGTGGAAAGGGAAAGAGAGGAATTCCTAATAAAATTCTCAGCATTGTTTATTGAACAATAATTCCCTAACATCCTTTGTGAAAAAAACACATTGATTAAATTGATATATAAAAAAAATCTCTGTTTGCATACAGGACCTTAGATTGTATGATATTGGGTAGGCAAGTAGTGATGCTTACTCATCTACATTCTATTTAGTCTTGTGCAGTGCTTTTTTTCTAAAAAAAAAAAAAAAAAAAAGGTGCCGGAACTTACACACGTCATACAACCCGCCTTGCCTACCCTATAAGGTTCCATCCAAAAAAGGTGCCGGAACTCCGTTCTGGGCGTTCTATGAGAAAAAAAGCCCTGGTCTTGTGTATAAGAACAACTCTGAGTTCTAAATGCAACATGTTTAGAACTGTTAGTGAAAACAAAAACACATAAGAATAATTGTATCCTTCTGTCATACTTTTATTTATTAGATTTTTATCCTGCCTTTAATATTTATAAGTAATTAAGGCAGCAAACATACCTAATACTTCTTTCTCCTCTATTTTCCTCATAACAACAACCCTGCAAGATGAGTTGGGCTGAGAGTGAGTCACTGGCCCAAAGTCACTCAGCTGGCTTTTAGGCTTATGGCAGAATTAGAACCCAGTCTTCTGGTTTCTCGGCCAACACTTTAACCTCTATACCAGTGATGGCGAACATTTTAGAGATCGAGTGCCCAAACTGCAACACAAAACCCACTTATGCATCGTCGGGTGCCGGGTGGGCGTGGCCCATTGGGTGGGCGTGGCTGCGATGGTAACAGCAGACTTTGTGGGACTAAAAAGTTCAATCAATCAATTCCAACTTTGCAAGATTTTTTTTCCCCATGAGAAGTTGAAATTGACTGATTGATTGAACCTTTTTTTTTTGCACACGGTGGCGGAGGTCTAAAGCGAAACAGTTTTATAAAACCCAGCTGAAGGCCTAGGACTGGGGCGACGGCGCGCATGCCCACAGAGAGGGCTCTGAGTGCCACCTCTGGCACCCGTGCCATAGGTTCGCCACCACTGCTCTATACTGAACTTGCTTTAATAATATGAATATTGTATATTACAGCCATGTATATTACTTCTTTTAAGTTAAAATAAGGCCTACTTTAGGGACCAGTAAGCAAAATCACAACATTATGCTCAAGCAACATTTTCTCTTGATTCACATTTTCCCATTTGCTCAAAAGTATGATATTAGATGGTGTTTTCTTGATATTTTGCAGTCTAACTGTCATCTCAATGCTTTGGAATTATCACAATTGTAGTAAAATATGTTAGTTTGGAAAAGGCTACTATTGGAATAGCCAGGTAAAATGATTCTGCTGCTATTTTTGGAGATGAGGCACCTAGGGAAGGACTGATTTCAGCTGTGGAACACAAGCCTTGCATGGAAAGGGCCAAGGTTTGATTATAAGCATCTTCTGCTAAGGTTGAGGTAAACTCCAGCCTAAAAACCTATTCTTGCTAGTCAGTATATACGATACGAGCAAAGTAATATAGTAAGAGTTTCCTGTATTTTTAGAGCTTCAGTCATCTGTGTCAATACCAGGAAGCTGATCAATATAATAAAGAAGGTGTAATGGAATGTCTTGGAAGGAAAGAGAAGCAGCAAGGTGGATGGACTCAATTCTGGTGGCAATGAGTGCACTGTTGGAAAACCTGAAAGATCCAATTATGGATATAACATCATGAGCAAAATGTATTTATGTGGTTGCTAGGAGTTGAAAACAAGTTAGCACAATCAGTCGATCAATCAAAGCAGAATGTCCATTAAACAAAGCAAAGTCTTCTCCATAAAGATATTCACTTCCATTTCAGGGCCAAGACAATCAAGAATACAGCATCAGTGAATCTGGAATTGACAGCAGAACAATGGAAGAAGAAATTTGAGAAGGAGAAGGAGAGGAACAAGACCCTCAAAGAGACAATTGCCAAGTTGGAGGCTGAGCTAGGACGTTGGCGTAATGGTAAGTTGGGTGCAAAGAAAACAAAGGTCCTGTTTGTTTTGCTTTGTTATTGATTGCACTGTCTTTCAGATCTAAGTGATATTAGCAATAGGTGCATTTCTTGTCTATCAACCATTTGTTGACAGGTCGAGATACAACTAAACAGGTTGTTTTGGGCTAAAATTTATTTGAACCTGAAACCAAGCAATGAGAATTGCACATTTCCTCATTTTTTTTACTATGCCAATAAATATTTGGAGTGGGAAATTAAAAAAAAGCAAGGATATAAGCAAGGACTATGGCTACACTGCATTCTATGGAGCTGCATTTGCCTAATAGAAAGACTTTGGAAATGGTTATCAGTGTCCTAAATGTAACATTGATTCATGTAGTTTAAGGACAGATGATCCCAGACATATGCTGTATGTATATATGATGTAATAAAGATGCCTCAGGTTGCCTAGGAACTAAATAATAAGTGCAGATATCACAAAGGGTCTTAAGAGGGCTGAAATACAAGGGACAGTCATAACAACTTAGACTACTGTCATATATCGTCAGATTATTCAGCATGGACAGAAGATGGAGATGCTAAGGAGTGAACTTGGGACCTTATGCGATGTAATTTCTATTCATTGGATTTTTTTATCTTTACTCCTATGATAAAACAGATGTAGTATTCCTTTAACATATTAGGTGCTTATTGTGAAAAAATACTGCATAATCCACTCTCAATTCAGAGATTTGGACCAAAATGGCCTTGAATTTCAGAGTTTATCTAGCCCTGAAAAAGGACACCTACTTTCCTTAATTCTGATACCTCTGAATGGGTTTCACATTTTTAGAATGGTGAAAAAGTGTGATTTCTCATGTAATCATTGCACAGATCTGTCCCTGAAAGGCACTGTGGTACCTTCTGATTCATAATAAACACAGCAGTAAAATAAGTGTGTGAAAATGTCCTTGTCCTCTATTTAAACATTTTTAGGTGAGAATGTCCCAGAAACAGAGCAGTTGAGTGATGAGGAGAAGGTGGTACCTGATACTTGTGATGAGACACCCATTAATGATAACAACTCCTCCATTGTCATCCGGATCTCCGATGAGGAGCGGCATAAGTATGAGGAGGAGATCCGCAAACTCTACAAGCAGCTTGATGACAAGGTAGAGATCTCTCCTCCATCCCATGTAAACTTCTCCTGGGTTGCTTTTAACCCCATCTCAGTCACAATGTCTTTTCTTTGTGCCTTACCTGTCTGAACCATGGACGCAGCATAAGGTAGTAAGCAATGACATATTTTTGTCCAATCAGGATGATGAAATTAATCAGCAGAGCCAATTGATGGAGAAACTAAAGGAGCAGATGCTGGACCAGGAGGAGGTGAGTAATTTTCCTAGAGTACCTTTATGCACATGCATCCTGACTTTTTATCTTTGTTACCTAGTTTAAGCCAGCCTTTCCTCAAAGAAGCAGATGATATCATAGGTCAGGGGTAGGCAACCTTGGCTCTTTTATGACTCATGGACTTCAACTCCCAGAATTCCTGAGTCAGCCATGCTGGCTCAGGAATTCTGGGAGTTGAAGTCCACAAGTCATAAAAGAGCCAAGGTTGCCTATCCCTGTCATAGGTCATTCTTTCTTATCACATTGTCCTCCCAACAGTCCTGTGAGAGATGATGATGTGTCCAACATTGCCTAATAAGCTTAGTAGATGGCTATGGATTTTGTCCTGGTCTTCCCATCACTTTAATTAAATACTGTAATTGTATTCCAGTCCTCCCCAGTTACGTGTCTTCAGGCTCTATTAGATTGCAGCTATGATCATTTTAAGTAAGCTACATCACGGACTGGAATTGATGGAGATATAATCAGAAGGCAGTTGGGTAGAGAAAGACTAGTATAACCATAACAGCCTTCTGTTTCTCAGCACTCTGTATATATCTCTATATCAGACATGTCAAACTCGCGACGTCACATGACGTCACGCAACGTATCGGAGCTTTTTTGCCATTGCCGGCAATGGGGTGGGCGTGGCTCCGGTATGATGAAACCGGCCCACGGACCGGCAGTTTGACATCCCTGCTCTATATATTTCTACCTCTTTTTACATCATCCTCACTTCGCCTTCCTGTTCTTCTTCCTTTCTTATATGTCCTCTGACATTTCTCTAACTACTCACTAACTCATCCTGCCTTTTCCTTCTGATAGCTGCTAATGTCCACTCGTGGGGACAATGAAAAAGTGCAGCAGGAACTAAGCCATCTGCAGTCTGAGAATGATTCTGCTAAGGAAGAGGTGAAGGAAGTACTACAAGCTCTGGAGGAACTGGCTGTCAATTATGATCAGAAATCCCAGGAAGTAGAAGATAAGAATCAGCAGAATCAGCTATTGGTGGATGAGTTGTCTCAGAAAGTGGTAAGTGCTGAGATCTTGTGGATTGTAAAACACGACTCAGAGTTGCCCCTTGTAGAATCAATACATTCATCAAAATTTCAAAAGGACTTCATAAAGTTCTTAAAAAGCCATTCAGTAACAAAAGAAGTTTTGTTAGGATGCCAAAAAGCAAACAGTGGTGGTATACAGAGATTCCTTAGAGAAAGATTCCAGAATAGCAGTACCATAGAACAGCATAATAAATTCACCATAGCCTTTTTTTTGTGGTTTAACTAGTGAAACTTCCATTCCCATGACAAAGGGAATGGGTGTGCTGTTGTCTCCAGTTAGATGTTTACTTAGAGCCCTTGTGTATATTCAAGTTTAACCATTTTTTCTTCTTAATTTTATTTTGTATAATCTAATTCCTACCAGAGGGTTTACAGTACATTTAAATTAAGACACTTAAGAAATTAAATCATTAATTTATGAATTAATTCAGTTTTATTTACTTAATTTAATTCAAGAAATTAAGGTCTTTTCCCTTTAACTAAAATTGAGAGTGCCAAATTTTTAAACCAGAGGAATTCTCTTTGATCTGGATAAGCCACAGATGTCTTTATCTTTACAGGCCACCATGTTATCTTTGGAATCAGAGTTGCAACGCCTACAGGAATTCAGCGCACACCAGCGCAAACGCATTGCTGAGGTCCTCAATGGCCTTATGAAAGATCTGAGTGAATTCAGCGTCATTGTGGGCAATGGTGAGATCAAACTGGTAAGCAGCTGGTAGGGGATCAGTGTTTGGAAATAAGAAAAGTAGTCATTCACTCTCAGTTTAGAAACATATAAGATGGATCTGGGGAAATTCCTAATGTTTTTCTTTGGTAGTATCTGCTATATTTAATCAAGCCTTTTTAAATGTTATGCCCAACTAAAAAAAATAGAAACAGAGGGGTTCATTTAAGGTATTTAAGTGCTGACATTACCGCATACAAAAATGGAAGAAAGTAAGAAAAACTACTTAGAAAATAATGGAATTTAATGATCTGGGAACAGAGTCATCTGATGAGCAAAGGAAAGAAGGAAGGATGTATAAACTGTTCTGCTTCTTAGACTCATACATTGAACTATGTGCCCCAAATAATACGTTTTCTTTTAAAATTGTTAATTTGTAGCCAGTAGAAATTAGTGGTGCCATTGAGGAGGAATTTACTGTTGCCCGGCTCTACATCAGCAAGATCAAATCAGAAGTGAAGTCAGTCGTGAAACGTTGCCGTCAGCTGGAAGGTCTTCAAGTTGAGTGCCACCGCAAGATGGAGGTGACAGGACGGGAATTATCTTCTTGCCAGCTTCTCATTTCTCAGGTCAGATTTATGGAAGTGGAGATGAAAGGACACTAGCTATGGCATTTAAAACTGATAAAGGGTAGAAATAAGAGGGACCAGAATACCCCTCATAGGAAAGCATCTAGATTTTCACAATCTGGGTAAGGAATCTCTGGCCTTCCAGATCTTATTGAATTAACGTCCCCTCCATCTTTCATCGTTGGCCGTCATGCTGGGTGGGATTGATGGAAATTATAGTTCAGCAGTATCTGGGATTTATAGGCTACCTATCTCAGTTTTATGTTTGAGAGCTAGGAAGTAGAAAAAGTAATACAATCCGATCAGGAACTTCACTGGATTTAATTAGCTTTCTTTTCTTCCAATCTGGAGTAGAAAAGGGATGATCTCCCATGCTGTCAGGAAAGGACTATGTTGGAGAGAAGTTTGACAAATGTTTTAAAGAATTACTTCTTTGTACAACCTGGCCCTCTGTTATTTCTCAGTCAGCTCCTATAAAGAGGTATCAGGAAACCTGAAGCTCCAGCTTAAAGGAAGACAGATAAGGTGGAAAATCTTTTTGGGGAGATCAGTGAGAGCTCCTAATTCAGGAGACCTTAGCTGACTGGTTAAAACTTTGGTTTGGTGTCTAGATTCAGGAGCTCTGGAGCTTGTACTGCTGCTTTTGTTGATCCAGTTTATTGCTTCTACTATTGTTTCAGTAGGGAGAAGATACCATTGGTACCAATCCATGAATATTTCTTACAGCAAATCTGTAGAAGTCAAATGGTTGGCATGTGTCTTTAAATATTTATACATATATATATCTAGGAGACCAACCTCAAGCAGTGTGTCTAGAAGCTATTTCCCAGCAGGAATCTTAATGTTCTTTTGGACATGGTAATATCTGTAACAATGGATCAACATAAACTGTGGAGCATGGTGTCATTGGAAGCTAAGCTGAGAGTGGGATTTTTGTTTTGTTTTTTAAAAAATTCATAGAGGGGTTATCCCTTCTCCTATTTCCATTTTTTTTCAAATACTAGCTCTAATGCCACTATTCTAATCCATTTTCCAGCCTTCTCACGATTGCTTCTAATTGTGTATGAAAACAATGAGAAATCTAATTATAGATCACTTTGGTACACAGAGCTCTCTTTTAATATTTAATATTTTGGGTTATGTCCCTAGGGCCAGACTTCATGCTGTTGCATGTCGTGATTCTATATACCAATTTTTAAAACTGGATCAGAGAAATAGCAGATTGAGGATAAGTTAAAATTTTTCTCCATTTTTTATTTTCTGATTCTGGATCACACAAACATTCCTTTCTTTTAATTAAAAAATTCTGCTGGCAAGTGTTCATGAATCCATAGTTCCAGGAAGAATTTTATGAGGGTGTGTGTGAAATGGGGAGATCACACAATATATCTACACCCACAAGCACACACATTGATTATTTTTTGCTCCAAAAACATTTCCTATTTCAAATAGTCATTAATGATTCATCTAATTAATATTAATCCTAATCTAATCTAATTAATCGTGTGTATTATTTCTTAGAAGTGGTCCTATTGGTTGCAGCTTCTGGATGTACTTGCATAGAATTGTACTGTAAACTATGATAGGTATACCCTTGAAATACAGCATGGAAGGGGCTTTTTGATTGCTTGGTCTTCTCTTTGTTTTGGAACTCTGAAGACATATTTGAGAAGAGACGACAGTTTCCAAGTTTGGACAGGCAGAAAGTTGAGTTCTTCCTCATAGAAAATAAGATTGGGGAGTCTGGAATCTGGACTACGTTTGTGAAAGGGATCTCTTATTTGCTTACATTTCCCAATCTTCTCAGCATGAAGCCAAGATCCGTTCACTTACTGAGTACATGCAAAGTGTGGAGCTGAAGAAACGGAACCTGGAAGAATCCTATGATGCTCTGAGTGAAGATTTGGCTAAATTGCAGGCCCAAGGTAATATGGATGGTACTGGGCTTATGGCATAGTTTATGACTGGTACAGAAGTATGTGAATAATTCAGGAAATGAGTCGATGGGAGAAATGGCAGAATACAGATTTGAATGCCGAATGTTTGAGTCCTTGTGTATAGTGTTGTTTGCTTGCAAGTGCCCTTGACTATGTGTGAATCTTCACAGTAGCTCCTTCCCATTATTATTTATTATGTGTAAGTAGCTTGTTCATTTGTTTACATAAACCCTTTCTTATATGTATAATGGTATGAAGCACGTTACCGTTTCTCTTTTATAGATGAAGGAGGGAGGGTATGCAGAAGAAGTCTTTTTTTAAAAAAAAACTTTTTACTCCACTCTTAAACCTTGAGATTGAGAGATTAAATTGAAAGAATAACCTGCTCAAGAAACCATGGTAAATTAAACGAGCAATTGATGTTTTAGCCTAGTCTCCTAGATCAAGAAAGCAGATTACTGATCTAACACTGGTCAGCAACCCATGCTCTAACTCTGTCTCCATCCTCTCATTAAGGATCTTTCTTCTCTCCCACAGAGACTGTGCATGAAGTAGCCAACGAGCAGGACCTGATACAAGATACAGATGAAGTCAAAGTTAGTACAAGAGATAAGGCATGTCTTTCTTCATCAAGGGTGTTATTCCTCTTATGCAATCCCTTTGGCCCCTGGCAGCATTAATTAAAAAGGGGGGTAGAGATGGGGGAAATAAAGAAAGATAAGAGAGACAGAGACCCAGACAGGCGTATTTCAGGCTCTAAAAGGAGAATTGTCATGGCCAGCTCAGATTCAGAAGATGAAGAGGAGTTACAGGAGAGTCATCAGCCTGAGGACATTCACTGGAAGAGTTGCAGGCAGGGAAAGCAGTGTTGCCTAGCAACCTGGAGAGGCAGCTATCAGAGGCCTTAGAAGATGAAGAGGCAGAGCTAACACCTCCCCCCAGTGCAAGAGCCTAACGGGAAGAGAAGAGGACTGAGCAAAGATGTTCAGCAAAAAACTATGGGCCAGAAAGAATACAGACACAGACAGACAGACAGACACACACACCACATACACTGCCTCCCCCCCCCAAGGAACAAATCCAAATCTCACTGCCCCTATATAAGGAATGCCTCATCTATCAATTGGCAACAGCTCTTTCTTTACCTCACCACCTTGTTCCCCAACTCTTTAGCTTATCTTCTCAAGGAGTAAGCCTGGATTCTGATGCCACAACTGACTGACCCTCTAGTACCTTATTTATGATTTGAACTCTCTCTTGCCTCTAATTTAAGCTGGTTGAGTTTTGTGGTCTGGGTAAGTCATGAGGGACTACGATTGTTTGTCAAACCTTTTTTTGCCATTAGAGTTGTTCTCGAATACTTATTTAGTAAAGATATAAGACTTAACTGCGCACCTGTGATTTCCATGAGCCAGAATAGGACAAGAACAGAGAGGACAAGCGTATGATGGGCTGTTGAGAGTATAGCTTTGCTGGAAAATAATATCGTTTTGAAGAGTATCCAAGATTTGCTGCTTTATGAGGGGCCCTAGCACTGCTATCTACACATCTGAATTGCTTTCCTTTCCTGCAGAAGGCCTTGGAAGTGCAGCTAGAGAGTCACCGTGAAGCCCACCACAAACAGTTGGCACGCCTACGTGATGAGATCAACCAGAAGCAGAAAATCATCGATGAGCTTAAAGAGTGAGTCATTTTTAAGCTGCGGCAAGATGCTCTGATGGGAAGGAGAGAGATTCTCATTATAAGTTAGGTTATGTTGGAGATGAGAAGCTGTTGGCTTTGGGGGGTTTTTTTTGGCAGGGCCTGACTTAATCAGTTTCAAGAGACTGATGGCAAAGTATCAGCAGAAAATTGGACAAAGTTTACAAGGCAGGGGGAATGTGACAAGAATAAAATAAGCAGCAACCATTTATGAACATGTGTAGAATAGAAATTAGGAGCAAAGATGGAAGTTGGGGTAAGGGTAAATCATCCTTGACCAACCTCACATCCTCCAGCTGTGTTAGGACTGCAACTCCCAGAATTCTTAACCAGCATGCTTACTAACAATTTGAGCTTTATAGTCTTTCTTAATAAGTCTGGAGGAGCCAAATAGGAGAAATCTCATGTTAATTAACTCTAGAAGTAATGACAAGGTGGTATAGCTTGAGTTGTTGCACTACTGTAAACCCATATCTCTTGTGTGACATAAATTCAGCTGTCAGGAATCCTTTAATTTGTGTATAATCAATAGGATTTATAGGCTGGTAATTAAGACCCTGAGACTCTATGAACTAAATCTAATTTAATGCCAGTAATTCCTTCCTGAGAGCTGAAGCTTATTCAATAGAACTTGTCCTAATAAAAAATCCTTAGGCTGGATTGCTGCAGTTAAAAATTCATTTATACCAATGCTAAACCTGCAAGTATATTCAAAATTAGAAGCTGGTTGTGATGGAAATGCTTAAAAGATGGTTGAAGCAAATATTCTCTTTTAGATATTGTCCTGAAATACAGTCCCTTAAGCATCAGAGGTTTTGACTCTTTAGTCTCCATGTCTTGAGCCTTTAGCACTGAATCCTTTTGCAGATCTTATGCTAAATTGAAAGGCTGCTGGATAACTATGATAATCTGCTTATCATCCCAACAATAGCATATTTTTCCATACATTCTTTCCTGCCCAGCTTAAACCAGAAGTTAGAACTTGAACTGGAGAAACTTCGTGCTGACTATGAGAAACTCAAGAACGAGGAGCAAGAGAAATCACAAAAGCTTCAGGAGCTGACGTGAGAATTCTTCCCTTCCAAAGATATTTTCAGTTGCTTTTCTTCATCCCTGAGTTTAAGAATAAGTCCCACGATCTAAAACAAAATGTGTTTGGTCCTGATGAATTCTGGGATTTGATGCCACAAGGCATCAGCTGAGAAAAGCTGATGTATATTAAATCTATGTAGTGAGCTGGGGAAGAAACTATAACTCAATTGAATGAGGACACATTTAATAATTCAAATATATTTGGTTTAAAAAAGAACATTTACCAGATTCACCCAAAAAGGTGGTCCTAAATTGAAGATGATCCTTCACAAGGAAATGTCATGACTGGGTCTTATTTCATATTTCTAAAGCTTTGCACACTTCCTGTTTCCTTCCCCTTCCAATAAGAACTTGTTCAAACCTGCTGTGTCTCACTTCCTTCTTCATTGCTTCCATGATGACCCATATGGGGGTTATTCTTTTCCTACATAGAATAGCTCTAGAAATTTTACAGCTTGGGTCAAAACAGATGGTGCTCAATCCCCAATTCCAAGAGATTATTTATATTCATCTGCAATCGAGTTATCTGGAAGGGATCAGCGAACCATTCTACCTCAGTTAACAGTACTTGTTTTTCCTCTGCCACCAAATCTGCCTACTCTCACATATATGCAGTTGAATTTGGCTACTCACTACCTAAGTTTCCCTCCTTCAACAAAAAACCCCTATTTCCTTAGACTTTATAAAACAGGCATGTATAATCTAAGGCCCCATGGCCAGGTGGTTAACCTGGAATGGAACCCATTGAGCCCCTCCAAAAATTGCCACTAATTGTGACAATTTTTCAAAGGGCAGAAGACATGATGATTAGGCATCTGGGGAATGATTGTATCAAGTCACATTTTTGTCCTAGTTCTATTGTCTTTGGTTCTGTACTCACCTACATTTTGCAATATGTAGTTATGCCACTCAAAGGAGCAATGAGACTTTTAGCCTGGTAAAAGTTGTAAAAGAGTGTAAAAGCTCAGAACATGAAAATTAATTTAGCCATTATTTTTTAAAATCAATTTGTACAGCTGCCCATCTCAATAATTGATTGGGCAGCAAACAATATCAAAATAAAAATAAAAAACAAGTACAAGAATGAAAATACATAGCAGCCAAGGAAGTATTGCAATCCACAGTCACTAACACAGCTAGGAGATGGGTCCCTTCACACCTCCATGGCCCCTGGCCTGGGCAGAAAGCCAACTCTTTACAAAAGATCTGCAAGACTGAGAACATCCTGCTCTCCAGCAGAGAATATTCCATCAGGCAGACGCTACTTCAGAAAAGCTCACTTTCTAGGCCCCATCAAATGACATTCCTTTGAAGCCTGCCCATCCTGCATCTCTATGACTGCCTCTAGTCTTGACCATATGCAGGATTCTAAAGCTTAAGGTAATGGACAGCACCTGCTTGTGCTGCCAGTTATGCTTCAGTGAGGACAATTAAATTCTTATGAGAACACTTTTCCCAATGTTGTCTTTGCCTCACATGTTCTTTCTGCTTCACAGATTTCTCTACGAGCGCCATGAGCAGTCCAAGCAAGACCTCAAGGGGCTGGAGGAGACCGTTGTAAGCATCCCAAAAGGCAGTGTTCTCTCATCACTGGTGAATAGACTCACATCTATGGCAACAGCATTGGGTACAAGGAGGACTCTGTCATGTGATGGCCACTTTTTAGGACTCCCAGCTGTTGTAAAAAAAAAAAACTGAAAAATTGTCACTTTTTTTTCCTCTTGTGGCCCTTTTTTATTCCATTCCCCTTCCTAGTAAAGTAAATCTGAAGTGATTGTGATTGGCACTATTGCAGAAAGATTTGGAGGCAGAGCTTACTCGCTATTAATCTGTTTCTGCCGTCTTTTGTCTTCCTTGTGAAGCTATGTTAGAAGGGAGTTAAAACTGCTAAAGCACATAGACAGGTTCACCCCATTTTCAGAGTCTCTCTAGAATTACCTAGAGTATATCCTTGTAAAACAACTAATTGCCTCATACGTAGTTTGCACATTAAATGACTTTATCCACAGAAAGCAGCAGTTTATCTCTTTGGGGCTTAATCTGACAAGAGTTGGTTGAACAAGTGACTAATGTAGCTTAAAGAGTTGACATAATATGCTCCCCTTCTGTGACCCAGTTAAATGTGTTTTGTGAATAGAACCAGAGGAAGAGAATGGGAGGCTAAAACATCTTATCTCAACTTGCCTTTCTATGTGTGTGCCCTTCTAGGCCCGTGAACTCCAGACCCTCCACAACCTTCGCAAGCTGTTCGTTCAAGACGTCACGACTCGAGTTAAGAAAGTAGGTAACTCTTGAAACTCATCAAAAACTTGTGAATCTTTGAAACACTTTATCTCTGAAAGGAATTTTTATAAAAACCTCTTAAGCTGGAGACTAGCCATTCTGTCCCCAAATTGCAGGTTGGAGTGAGTTATTGTATTTGCCTAAAGCCACCATCTGAAGTCATTGAAAGGGTGGGATATGATGCGAAAGCAAATCTATGTTGATGTGCCATGTCTCTTAGCTATTATTCTACACTAGCTAGACTCCTTGAAAATCCTCTGATCCAGTAATAACTGTAAAATTAGGTAGTCTTAGTGTGATAGGTTTGGAGCCTCAACCCAATCTTAGGAAACCCTTTGTGCAGGTCAGATGTGTTCTTTCCATTGTAAAGGAAATTCGCTTTCTTCTAATTTCCCCACATGGCAGTTTTGACCCCACATGGCAGTTTTGAATCTTTACTCAAATTAAGGTAGAAAATGGTTTTGTCGAACATTTCTCAATCAAGTTAGATTCAATTCACAGTCATTCCCAATTCTGGAGCCCATACTTGTCATTCCTTATCTTGTATGATCCACATTTTACACTTGGAATTACAGTTCTTTGTGGAGGCAACTAAAGAACAAATTTTGCTGTGGACCAATCCAAATAGTTCTCTTTGGGCTTTCCACTGCTGGCGCCACTGCTGTACTATCTCATGCAGAGAATCTTCCTCTTTTCCCATCTCCTTCACTGCTGCAGAGATAAATATCTTCTTGCTGCTTCTTTCCAGAGTGCGGAGTTGGAACCCGAGGACAGTGGGGGGGCTCATTCCCAGAAACAGAAGATTTCCTTTCTTGAGAACAACCTGGAACAGCTTACAAAAGTTCACAAACAGGTGAGTGGCTGAATGAGAGCCAAGCAACCACAAAGAGGGATGGAGCAGATGGAGAGAATAAGGGCAGCTAGTGAATTCAGTGCTATTTTCCTTCTTATACAGTAGTTAGTCAATTGGATAGGAATCTTTTTCCCTATCTCCATTTTGCAGTCTCCATGTATTGTAGCAGCATTGAATGTGTGTTTGTAAAGCCATTTGGATGCTCTCTCAATTTTTTTCATTCACCTCCTAGGACATGTTCTTAGCTTGCTTTGGAGTTCACATAAGGCGGGATCAATATATTGCTCAGGCCTACTCTCTGACTTTTTCTATAATAAAACTCCTGCCCATTGTCTGTTCCATTTAATATTAAGTTTGCTTAAATCACAGTGGGGAATAGGTGAGCCTGATAGATATTGCCGAATGATAACTCCTGGAATTTATTTCCCGCCTTTATTATTTTTATAAACAATTCAAGACGGTGAACATACTGTACCTAATACTCCTTCCTCCTCCTTGTTTCTCCACAACAATGAAATGGATTGGACTGAGAAAGAGTGACTAACTCAAAATCACACAACCAGCTTTGATACCTAAGGCAGGACTAGAACTCACAGTCTCCTGGTTTCTAGTCTGGTGCCTTAACTGCTGCACCAAATTGGGTAAAAATATGGTCAGCTTTGATCAGCTTTTCTGCAAGGCTGGCTAGAAAATATGGTTTACCAAATTTAGAAGGCAACAGGTTTCTTTTTCCTACTTTTCCATCGAAATAGAGCCCATTGATCCCAAAACTCACAAAGTCTTGGCTTATGCTGAACTGTCTCCTGTTTTCTGCTAATCCATAATAATTTGCCCTTCGTACTGTATCAGTAACCTTGATTATTTGGCAAGAGTTTAAGAGAGAAGAGGTGCATGCTCATTTCTTTTATCACCCCCTGCATGAAGGTGTATTTCTGAGTGTGTAGCAATTCACAAGAATTATAGCATGTAGTTCCATGGATTTTAGGGAATCAAGAATGTATATTTATGTTTAGATAAATTATGCTTATGTACAGAAAGAAGAAATATAACATTGTAAAAAAAACAGAAATCAGTGTGTCAAAATAAGATCTTCTGAGAAAAGGATACGTAGGTAATTCAGTAAGGGTTCCCACAAATTACTGCATGGTGTGCTGTCTGATTATTGCAAGCATTAATGCAAGCATTAAAAGGAAATATTATTAGTCATATAAATAGGGCAGCAGAGGAAAACACTTAGGGAAAAAAACCTAATACATTATCTAACTTGGTGGAATGCATGTGTGTGATTGTGTACATTCATTGGATCTTTACTTATAGCTTCATACATTTTATTTCAGTGATAGATAGGCAGATTAGTGCCCCTGGAAGTTTTACTATGTAACTTAACTATTTACTCGCTTGCTTGGCCTAGATCAGTGACGGCGAAACTTTTAGAGACCGAGTGCCCAAACTGCAACCCAAAACCCACTTATGTATCGTCAGGTGCCGGGTGGGCGTGGCCCATTGGGTGGGCATGGCCCATTGGGTGGGCGTGTCTGCGGTGGTAACGGCAGACTGGGTGGGACTAAAAAGTTCAATCAATCAATTCCAACTTTGCTAGATCTTTTTTTTTCCCATGAGAAGTTGAAATTGATTGATTGATTGAACCTTTTTTTTTTTTTTTGCACATGGTGGCGGAGGCCTAAAGCGAAAAGGTTTTATAAAACCCAGCTGAAGGCCTAGGACTGGGGTGAAGGCGCGCGTGCCCACAGAGAGGGTTTTGGGTGCCACCTGTGGCACGTGTGCCATAGGTTCGCCACCACGGGCCTAGATTAACACTTTGGTCACTAATCTCTCTGGAAGTATACACAGTACCATTGTAAATTAGTTAGAAGTTTAAACATAGATCAAATATAGAGGATTATGGAGATGGTCTTGTATGCAGCAGCCATTAGAAAAAAATTAGCTTAGCTTGGGAAGATGGAGGGGATGGGTGAGGAAGAAGCTCAAGATTGCCCTGCCTTGATTCACTTTGGTATAAGAGGGAGAGAGAAACTCTGTCAGGCTTTCAAGATTCTTTTTTTTTTTTTTTTAAGAAATTTTATTTATTTTTTCCATCATAAAAAACAAACATAAGTAAACACAATAACCAATCAAAAATCCCCCCCCCCGGACTTCCCAAACCTAATCCCAGGATAAAATTCATATAAAAGTAAACAAATACTAATATCTCTAACTCCACAAAGTGTCTTAATCTACAAAAAAAGATAAGAACCATAAGCAAACTTAAGAAAAATCTAAAAGCCTAAATTGTATTCTACCACTCTGTGTTTCTTTTGAATATAAACGATCCATCTTCTCCATATTGATAAAAATTGTTCATTCGAGTGATTCTTCAAATAAACCGAAATCTTTGCCATTTCAGCAAGGTACGAAACTTTCAATCTCCAGTCTCCCATCGTGGGCAGAATTGGGCTCTTCCAATTTTGGGCTATCAACAATCGAGCAGCAGATAAACAGTAAAGCATCAAATTTGTTTCTTTTGCATCTAAATGTTGTACAATACCTAAGAGAAACAACTGTGGAAGGAAAATAATCCTTTTTTTAAAAATCTGCTGTAGGTTCCACCATAATTGTACCCAAAAGGCCTTAATAATCTTACAAGTCCACCACATATGAAAAAAAGTTGCATCTGGATGTCCACACCTCCAACACTTGGATTCATAGTTCGCATAAATACGAGACATAGTTGAAGGGTCCAGGTGCCATCTATAAAACATTTTATAAAAATTCTCACGTAAATTTTGAGCTTGTGTAAACTTCACATTTCTCACCCAGATTAACTCCCAAGTGTCCATAGGTATTGTTTCTCCTATATTTTGAGCCCATTTAATCATACAATCTTTAACTAATTCAGTTTCTGAGTCCAATTCTAATAAAACATTGTATATCCTTTTAATATGCCCTTTGGTACCATCTCTTACTTGCTTCAAAAAAATCCCATCTTCCATAACAAAAATAGTCTTTTTGTCAATTCGCCATCTATCTTGAATTTGTCTGTACAAAAGCCAAGAGAAATTTGGGTTATTTTGCTTCAAAACTTCTATAGATTTTAAACACCAATTGCCACCACCACTCTGGTATAACAAATCTTTATATGTAAGTCCCTCCATCACCACTCCTCTAGTTATAGCTTGAAAAATATGTGATGGTATCACCCAGAGTGGTAGCTTAACATCAAACTTGAAGAAGTATTTTTGCCAAACTCTTAACAATGCAGCCCTTATTATATGATTTCTAAAGGTTTTATCAATTTTTTTCTGCATAAAAAGATAAGCGTGCCATCCAAAATACAAATCCCCTCCTTCAGTGTTCAAAATCCCTTTGTTAGACAAGTTAATCCAATCAGTCATCCACGTTAATGCACAAGAATCGTAATAAAGTGTCAAATTTGGTACTTTAAGTCCTCCACGTTCTCTGGTATCTTGGATAATCTTAAATTTAACTCTCGCCTTCTTGCCTTCCCAGATAAAACGATTCAAATCTCTTTGCCATTCTTTCAAGTTAATTTCATTTTTTAAAATAGGTATCATCTGAAATAAAAAAAGAAATTTAGGTAAAATGTTCATTTTAATGGCCGCTACACGACCCAGCAATGAAAGCTGTAGTTTTTTCCACGATGATAAGTCCTTTTGTACCAATTTCCATAATCTTTCATAATTATTCTGGTAGAGTTTTGCATTGGATGATGACAAAAAAATTCCCAAATATTTAACTTTATTAACCACTTCAAATCCTGACATCTGCATAAGTTGATCTTTATCTCTTACAATCATATTCTTTGTAAGAATTTTAGTCTTATTCACATTAATTTTAAGTCCAGCCACTTTACCATATTGGTGTAATTCTTGCAACAAAAATTCCAATGATTTAATTGGTTGAGTTAACGTAAAAACCAAATCATCAGCAAAATTCAGATTCTGTTATTATAAGGAAGTAGAGTTTCATTACTGAAACTGACCTGACCGGGTAAAAACATTTTACGATACAGGATTTTTAGAGTCCCAGACTTGTGCTCTTTTATTGATGAGTTTTGCTTTCAGAGACCATGAGGAATCCAAAGCCCTGTTGCTGGAATGGAAAGAAAAAAGAGAATTGTCTCTCTCCCATTATAAACAATAGGAGGGACTTTTTAAATGCCAGCTATAAGAATGTAGCAAAGGGAGCAAGAGATATTTGATTCCTGCAGATAAAGGTGGTCCTTGGCTTAAGACCACAATTGAGCCCAAAATTTCTGTTGCTAAGTGAGATATTTGTTAAGTGAATTTTGCCCCATTTTACAACCTTTCTTGACACCTTTGTTAAGTGAATTTCTGCCGTTGTTAAGTTAGTAACACAGTTGTTAAGTGAATCTGGCTTCCCCATGGACTTTGCTCATCAGAAGCTCGCAAAAGGGGATCACATGACACCTGGACACTTACAACCGTCATAAATAAGAGCCAGTTAGCAAGCGTCTGAATTTTGATCACATGACCAGTGGGATGCAGCAATGGTCGTGTGAAAAATGATCAAAAGTACTTTTTCAGTGTCGTTGTAACTTTGAATGGTCACTAAATGAACTGTCATAAGTCGAGGGCTACCTGTATAAAAGCCCTGACCTCTTCCTATACATGTCAAAATTTTAAAAGATTGGCTAATGTTTCTGCAGAGGCCAAAAGAAGGGATCTCAGATCATCTTTCTCTCTCTTCCCAAAGAATTCTCCAACCCCAGGGGAAAGCACTTTTCTCATCCTTGTGATGTTCTTGCAAAGTCTATAGGGGTGCAGTCTTAAATTAAAAGGTAGAAGCAGTATATATGATTGTGATTGTGCTGTTATACCCATTGAGCTGGGAGTAATCCCAGCTTTAGGAAGAATGTAGGATTGTTTCAGAAAGAGGAAATAATTCAGGCCAATGTCTCCACCAAGAGACAGATCATAAGAAGAAGAGCAGCAATAACAACAAAACTTTAAAAGAGCTGAAGACCAAACCTATAATTCCCAAAAGGGAAATGCACTGTTTCGAGAGCCTTATTTTGCTGATAAAATATTGTATTCATTTCGCCTTTCAGGGGAGGCAACAGAAGTGTTTTTTTAAAAATAATGTACTTAGTGCAAGTTTTCCTTCTTTGAAATTTCAACCTCCTTCTCTTGGCCTTAGAACTGGCTTAGGTGGTAGATAGGTGCATGTAAAAATTCACAAACTACCAGTATTCATCTCCCTTTCTTTACTGCCTTTCCAAATAGTGAACATTTTGAAGCTAATGTTGTAAGTTTAACTACATCTATTAAGAAATAGCTCCTTGAAAAATATTGGGGTTTTTTTTTGAGACAGAAATTTCTTGGCATAATTTGTATCCTGTGATAGTTTCAAAACAATAAAGTAAAAAGGATAAGAAAGGCTATCCAGACATTTGTTGTAGCAACAAGAAAGATTCCAAACAGAGTGAAGGAATCATTCACAAATAATTATGTGTCCTTTTTTAAAAAAAAAACCTGAACAGTTTTGAGTGATGAAACACTTGAGAAATATTTATTTAGGTGGAGGCAGAAAACCTGAGGAATATGCAGCTGGAGGATGAGCTCATGAAGTTTGCCTTTTAGTAAGTCCAATCATTGATCCATTGAGTTAGCAGAGGTTAAAAGCAGATACAGCAGTCATACAAAAAGAGTTGGCAGCACGCAACAAAGTGTTCCAAATCCAGTCATAAATGAAAAACAGACGTACAGATCATATCAGAGTGAGACAGTTATAACACATGGCCCGTATAATCAACGCACTGCGATTTTGGGACATAAGGCAACAAGAAGGCAGGTGTTTGAAGATGTTTCAGTGAGTGTTTCTACAGTTACTGGGTCCATCAATGCATGTAACATCTAAGAAGCCTGGCCTCAGAAACTTGCACCCTTGCAGGACTTATTTCTCTGTTCTTTCATACTGCGGCATGGACATATTGCAGGGGGGCGGTCAGTGAATCTTCTTTAGGATTTGAAGAAGTTGGAGAAATGGGATCCAGTTCAGGTTCTGCAGCAGAACTCGGGTCTCTAGGGAGGTTCTATAGCATGGGTGTCAAACTCGCCGCGTCATGTGACATGTCGCGAGGTATTGTGACTTTTTCCCGCATTGCCGGAGCTGGGGTGGGCACGGCTTCCACATGATGCAACCGGCCCACTGGGCCAGCAGTTTGACACCCCTGTATATAGCCTCCTAATAACCGTTTCCTCTTTGTCTGCTTCAGGCTTGGAGCTCTCATCATCCTCTGCAACCTTGTTTACTGAGATGCCAGGGACTCAATTTGGGTTTTCTGCATGCAAAGGAAAAGGTGCATCCACAAATCATGTGTACTCCCCTGCAGCAGATTAAAGAACGGCTCTTCCTTGCTTAGCTTTATTCATCATAAATTACCATTTTTGTCCCGCGGGAACGGTGTCTTCTGGTACAATACAGAAAACACTCCTTAGCAGCTGGCTCAGCAGGAATTACCCAGCTCTCTTATCCTGGCTTTCGATTTCTGTTTCCAGTCAAATTGGTACATCCCTTCTGGTTCCTTTTTCCTTCCCAACAAGCCATGAAACCGTGGTAGCTTTAATTGAAAACCTCACCCTTGTTTCCAAGTGCAATTTGGTGAGATTTTGCAGTTGGTCTTGGGATGTTTCAAGCAATGAATGGAATGAAAACAGCAGGAAACAGAAAGAAGTGAGATGGATATGCATTTCAGGCTTTAGGCCTTTCATTCCCTCATAAAATCATATATTTACTGAAGTGAGGAAATTAGACAAGGTGGCGAAGTAGCAAGGGACTATGTGTGTTTAGAAAGAATGTTGGTAGGTGTTTGCTTATATCCATTCCCTGCACTGCTTCTCATACCCATCACATATGATTTCCATTGCCCTTGTTCTGTTCCCCTCCTCCAATCGTCTCCACTTACTTTAGCTGAGTAAGATGGTAGAAAGACGTTTCTGCCACATCTCATGCCCCAAAGAGAGAACTTTCCTTATTTTCAGATCAGGAAAGGAAGGTACTACTCTGATACCAGCAGCCAGAAGCAATAGACATTGCTGGGGTGTAACTACTTTCTCTCTGGGTTTCCGGAGCAGGGTTTAATTGGGGACTCTGCTGATGTGCTCAGTCATGTCTGTATCCCCCCTTTTCCCATTGCTGCTGTATCCTAGCTGGATCGCTGGGTCTCCAAGGTATCGTACAGCCTCTCTCACATCTTCCTCTGCCTGTTGGGCTGGGCAGGAAATGTTTGCACTTGGTGACCAAATTGGGAGTACAGATATATATTTTTTTTGAGGGGTGTGTGAGATTGATTGGGGAAAAAGGTCAGGTGCCTCTTTCTCACCATTCCACTGCCATGGCAACTCCATCCAGGTTGACCCTTTGCTGCCATGGCAACCACTACCATTGTGGCCTTTGTGTCTGTACAAAGGCCTCATTCTCAGCAACTTCATGTATGTGGTTTCTACTATCCATTCTCTTGCCATGGCAATCCTGACCAAATTGTCCTACACAGCAGCTGTCACAAAAAGAAAAGAAAAAGTTAAAGCTTAGCTGTCCCACATTAAAATCTCAACAGCAATGCTCTTTCCTCCACTACAACGTTAAGTAGATACAAATAAACATCAAAATAGTTAGACGAATTCCAGATAATTTCCCAGTTTGAGGCCATATAGCCTCCTCAGTAACAACTAAAATTCAACTTGTATTGGTTATGCTAGCTGGATCTGATGGGAATTGTAGTCCAACACATCTAGCAGACATAATACAGAAGATTGCCCTACAGTTATCTGGAAAAAATATGGTTCATAAATTCTCACTTTGTGCTTCACCCTCTTTCTGATTTGATATCAATCTCCGAATATGGGAGCTAAATGTTATTATCTCAAACATTTTCTCTCCCTCCCTTGGAGGCTGGGCTGCCCAGTAGTTTTCCTGCCAATTACTATTGTGCTGCTGGCTGCCCCTTGAGTAATTGTTCATCTCAGGCCATTAAGCTGTCACCTCATGTTGCTTACCTACCTGGTGTTTAATTCAAGCTTACATATGGTGAGAGTTAAATGGATCATTGTGAGTCCTCAGCCTTTATCTCCCAACCTTGCATTTCATAAAATGCTCCCATCCCAGCATGGTGCATGGCTTGGATCTGCAGCACTTGGGCAAACACCGGGGCCTGCTTAATGGGAACAAGGGATGGGTGTCACCTGTAAAGGGCAGTGGCTTATCACCAGCATCTGTGACAACTACAGGTTGGCTTTAATATATGTGCAACAGAGAGAACTTCAGTTGGTGTGGTATCTGGGTTATTTTTCTCCATGTGATTATAACCTGGAGCAGTGGCCAATTATGTTAAAAATGTCCCTTTTGAGTGTTTATTGAAATGCCTCCAAGCTCTGCTACTTTTCACTCTGGCATTCCTCAAGGCCAGCTCCATAGGAGTTTTCCATCATGGCATTCAGAAGTAGGGCAAGAGTAAACATAAACCTTATTCTTGCAAATTGAAATGTTGGCTTTGAATATGCCCTTCATATGTTGCCCTGAGGGGCATATTCAGACATCCCTCCAAAATCTATGATAGAAGGAGATAAGATGTTGTATAGCAGTTCCCTTCTTGGGGGAAAAAAATCACACTTCTGAGGTGTGAGATTTCCAGGTAGATCAGATTGGGTAGAATTAGTGCATACTGTGTCTTTTTCTGGATAAGGGCAGAATGCGAGAAACGGAGCAGAACCATCTTGAGATTGGAGGCAAGAGCAAGTGTTTCAGGTCTTGAGGAATGGAGTTGTACCTGCCTTGTCTGCTTCACCTCCCTTACTTTTCTTTCCCTTTCTTGTCAACGTGGGTCCCAGCTGGTTCGTGACAATGCAGATCTGCGTTGTGAGCTTCCTAAACTGGAGAAACGTCTTCGGGCTACGGCTGAGAGAGTTAAGGCCCTGGAGGGTGCACTGAAGGAAGCCAAGGAAGGGGCAATGAAAGACAAGCGCCGCTACCAGCAGGAGGTAGATCGCATCAAGGAAGCGGTGCGCTACAAAAACAGCATGAAGCGCAACCACTCTGCGCAGATTGGTAAGCCAACAGATTCTGTAGATTGAGGGTTAGATCCTGGTGAGCATGGAGAGAGTTCTCCGTGGTAGCAGGTATTTTATTGATAATATGTGTTTTAGGAAGGAGCAGATATCTTTTCTACTTGGCTGAATGTGTACATTCCAGGAAATCATAATGCAGTATTTGGTAACACTGTGCAGTACTTTTGATTCAATTTGGAAAAGGTAGTTTGGAAGATGGGAATATCAATGCTGAATCAATCTGAAACTTGTTAAAGCAATCTTTCATTTTCCACAGACGTTTCTCCTATAGGCACATGATCCTTAACATTTTACAGGTAGTCCTTGACTTAACGACTGTTCATTTAATGACCATTCGAAGGTACAACGACCTCGGAAAGGGTGCTTTACAGTTTGTAAACTGGATGTTGTGAAACATTACATGATCATGGGGTGTGTATGTATGATGTTTCACAACATCCAGTTTACAAACTGTAAAGCACCCTTTCCGAGGTCGTCGTACCTTCAAATGGTCATTACATGAGCAGTTGCAAATGCTTGGGTGCTTGGCAACTTGTTTGCACTTACAACCAGTTGCCAAGTGCCCCATGATCATGTGATCACAACTTGCAATTTTCTGTGCCAGCTTTCCCAGAAAATCCGTAGGAAAGCTGGCAGGGAAGATTGCAGGCTGCTGCCACCTACCACAGAGTTGAGATTCCTTCTGCGCAGGAAGCTCTTTGAGAGCAAAAGGGCGGCCAGCCAGGTGGGAATCTCAACTCTGCATGGAGATGAGATTCCTTCCTCCCCACAACCTGCAGGTGACCTTTGAGAGCAAAAGACCTACTTGCCAAGGGGAAGGGAACTCCTCCAGCAGGATTGGAGCTTGGATCCCAAAAATCCCAGCTCCATTCCTGCAGCCCACTTCAGTAGCACCCTTCCATGCATGGAGGAGAGTTAAACTTTTCCATTGGGGTGGAGAAATAGAACTCAGATCCTGAAAATCCTAGCTCCATGAATTAATTAATAAATTAATGGTGTATGTTTGTGTCTCTCTGTGTCTCTGTGTGTGTACACACACACAGTGACCATACATCCTTTATTATAATGGATAGTCCTTTATTTCAGAAAGCTTTTCTGTAAATTTAATTATTTTCTTGGTTTTGCTCTTGAGCTTTCCTTTGGAAAGAAAAGTTATAAACAAACAATTTTATAATTCTTATGAGTATCTTTCAGATTTCAGATTTATCCCTTTTTCAGTTTGTCCTTTACTCTGCCAAGATAATATGGTTTATACATGACATTTGTTTCTTCTTGCAGCTAAACCAGTGCGACCAGGGCACTATCCAGCTTCATCCCCGACCAATCCTTACGGTGTCCGTAATTCTGATTGCATCAGCTACACCAATAGCCTCTTCCAGAATTATCAAAATGCTTACCTGAATTCTGGCAGCACTGTGCCTGACAGCTAGTGAGTATATTTTACTTCTACTTCCATTACATTGTGCAAACTGTGATTGGTTTAAGTTGTGGTTGGCTTAAGCAAATTTCCGAGATGAATCTATCAGTTTTTCAGGAGGCAACCTGAAGAACATTTTGCTCCATAAGTCAAACTTTAATATGTCATCATTTCATTTGGTTTACATTAAACCTGATCTAAAACATGTCTTGTTTTAGCTATTGGTTGATTGCAAAGAGTAGGCCTAGGCCAACTGTAATTTTTTTGGGGGGGATCTGGACTCTGGAATTCTAAAATAATTTGAATGTACAAGATCCACTATATATTATCATGTGGAAAAGAAGGCATACCAGAAGAATGAATTTGTATTTGCTTGTGTGCTGGCTGGTATAACCTACTTTTTAAAAGATAATCTAGGATACATCAAGTCTGAGCTGGAGATATAAATTACTCAGCAGATCATTACAATCTTCATAAATACACAGGAAAAAAAATAACTGGCATTAATAACAGAACATTTTTATTAACAAAAAAAAAGATTGCTATGTTTGGCTGTATAAGATTTAAATTGGAGAATCAGGTACATGTTCATCCACGTTGAGGATTTCATGAGATGACTATTTTCCAAACTTGCTCTCTTCAGATTAAATATCCTCCCTTGGAATTTAGTACATTTAGTAATTTGAATACAAGATCTCAATAGTCGTCTATTTCCTACATAGTCTTATTTAAAAAGGCTTTTTTAAAATCATTTTGACACACAGATCTTCTCTCCTCACCTTTTAATATCACATTTGGCTTTAGGGTTCCCTCTTTTATTACAGCACGGCTATCGCTAGAAGTTCCCCCTCAGCTGTAAGCTTCAGCACTGAGCCAAGTGGAACAGAACTGAGATAGCTAGATACACATGGTCCTTTTAGCATACAGTACATAACCTATTAATATCCATTCACTGCTTATATATCCCCTTTCTTTTTCCATTCATGCAGCTTTACAAATGCACCTTCCAGCAGTGGAAGCAGCTCTTCAGGTGCCCCTCTGACCTCCTATCAGAAGCTCAATATGGATAATGGTAGGCTATTAGGAAGAAAAATAAATATACTCTTAAGGAGAAGGAGGGTGCCTCTTGCTTTTCTGTTTGCTTAGGCTGGGTTTATCAGCAGCTTGAGATCATTGTGGCCACATTTAAAGGACCCACTTGATGAGGATGTAGTGCAGGAGTCTTCAAACTTGGCCCTTTTATGACTTGTGGACGTCTACTCCCAGAATTCCTCAGCCAGCGTGCCTGGCTGAGGAATTCTGGGAGTTGACATCCACAAGTCATAAAAGGGCCAAGTTTGAAGACCCCTGATGTAGTGTCTTTATAATGAAAGTCTGTTCTCACATTCCTGTTTCTTGGTTTACAGACATGGTTTTGTGTCACAAAACAAACACATGGGATGGGAAAGCTAGAAAGCAAAGAAAATAAACAGAGAGATGGCTATATCGGTAGAAAATACTTCAGATTTGTGATTATCTTGTGCATAAGGTGCTGGTAGGTTTACGTTTAAGTTTCAGCAAGGCACTTTCCAGGCAGAACTGAATACACACACACACACACACACACACACACACACACATATGAATGGCACTGTTTGTCCCTTCAGCATTTGCCCTTCTCTGAACTGTAATGCTGTTTTTTTCTTTCTTTCTTTCCTTGTTCTTCCACTGGACGGGTGCACAGGAAATGCCACAGACATCAATGATAACAGGTGAGAAGCTGTTGCCTAGCCATTGGAACAAACAGTTTTCTTATTTCTTCAGAGTGGTTAGTTCCAGGAATAAGTCATTTAATTTTTTGTATACGAAGTAGAGGGAAAACATTTAGCAGGGAGGGAAGGTTTGAGATACTATGTGTTCCCTTTTCCTCTGCTGTAGAAGTGACCTGCCTTGTGGTGTTGAAGCTGATGAGCAAGCCAAGCTCTTTCCCTTTCACCAGGAGACTGCAGCCAGCTAATAGCTAATATCACCACCTGCCCAGAGCATCTAAACACAACCGTCAGGTACAGTCCATCATATGCGCTCTATTTCACCAACTTTTTATTGCATCTCTTAATATTCCCTCTTCCCAGGGCTCCATCAGACTTGCCCTTCAGCTTCCTCCAACTGGGTAAATATTTTTTGCACTAAGATTTGCTAGATACCTTTTAATCAAAACAAAATAAACTCTGTCCTGCACAAGAGGAATAGGGTGGGTCTTTTTTTTTCCCCTTGCTCCTTCACTACAGAAATCCTATTTGTGAGTTTCCAGGAGTAAGTACTCTGGCTGGCTGTCACCAAATCCGTGGACTTGGTGATTTAACAACACTAATTTTATCTCTGTAAAAACTACTGGTGAATTGCAGAACTAAATGTAGAAAGCTTCCTTCTTAGTACAGTATTTAGCTGGAGAGGAGCTTGTATACTAATATCATTTCTATTGACTTTTCCCTCTTCCCTCTTTTCCTCATCTTGTAGTTTCTAAATGGGATGGAAGCCTCAATCCTGCATGCTGCAGCCGGTTTTCCTTGACTTCTGCTACAATTGGCCCTGTCCTTGTGTCCTGCTCTCTCCGCGTCCTGTATATTTATCAGCTGCTGCTTCACTCTCACTGTTTCTCTGTCTTACTTAACTAGAGAATAATGTATTCCCTTATCTCTTTGGATCCCTGCTCCCTACTTCAGGAGGACTTGTGCCTCTCCTTTCCTGCCTCAGTTGCCTTAAGGGATGGGCTGCTAGGGAAGAACCTAGATGTAGAAGCACCCCTAATGTGCAAACAATTCTTTCCGAAGAGAAAGGGCATAAGGTATTTCCCACATGACGTAATGACCCTTGACCTGCAGTAGAACACCACTAACCCCAATATCTTTAGGTCTTACTGTAAGAATAGAAGTTGAATACCTCCAAGTAGGTAGGCTAGAACTGTTAGTGTATGTGTTTGCTGACTTTCAGATAAGGCCTAGAGCTTTAACATCTAGTTCTTATCCTTTGGAGTAATCCTCAAAGAATATAAAATAGTGGCAGCTAGCTTCACCTTTAAGAGTTTCCCATGATGCTTGAGCCTCAGCCTTTATGGACTTAAATTTCCCATTTTTCTTAGGTCGTCATGGCACTTCAGAAATGGCCTGGAAAGTCTTCTACAGAAAGGAGATCCTGCTAGTCATTTCCGTCAGTTGACACAATGTTAGGAATGCTGCCTATCCTGAGCAGTTATTGTTTCCTCAGTGGGAACAGAAGGTTCCAATGGGTGAGGAGGATCTTATCAGTGGAGACCATAACTCCTCTATGAGCCAGCAACATGGCCTCAGGAATATAAGTTGGCCTCATTTCATTCTGTAAACAGGAAACTAGATAGTAGTTTTGCTTTTGCAGGGCAGACCTGTTGGATTTGACAGGTAATTCTCTAGCAAGTCCTAACCAACCATAACCACTGCATATCTGGGGCACAGGCTGGGGCCTAATGATTCTGTAAATGAAACAAAAATTAGGCTGCTATCAACATATTTTCAGTTGTTCCCTTTTATTATCTCTTGATAGCTGGCTCAGGGGCCTTTCATTTGTGCTCCCATGTGTATATTTTGAGGGAACAGTGAGTCCACTTGCACATCTTTAACTTAATGTCACCACTTCTGAGTCAATAGGGCAAACAGGGTTGTGGGGGGCAGGGAAAGTGGCTTTTACAAAGGATTGCAAGCCTCTTTCCTGTCAAACTCTTAAACAGCAATAACCCTGTTTAACTGTCTTCTTGATGGTTGTTGACATCCTGTCATTTTATCCCTGTCTGCTCGGATCACATCAAATGTTGCATGTCAAGCTATTCAAAAGTTTATTTAAAAAAAAAATAAACGAAGAGTTAAAAAAAATAACAGGTTTGTGTACTCTTGTTACTGTGTCTATATAGTAAAGATTTCCTTAGGTGAAGCTCAAATCCTGGTGTGACTACATGTAGTTTTTTGGCAACTATATAAAAGAGCTTTGTAACATGTAATTTTTTTTTTTAATTTTCCAGTCTAGTCTATGGAATTTCCTGGTGATCTCCCATCCAAGTCTAACCTGGTCTGAATGTGCTTAGCTTTCAGGTCATCAGCTATCCATTAAGACTGGAAAAAAATGGGGGAGGGGGGAGTATCTGCAGTAGATCCTTGTGAAACACTTAGACTAATATGATAGCTGCAGGGAATATCAGAAAACAGAATGGGTAGTGGGGGGAAATATTATGAGTTAATTCTCAGAATTCTTTATCACCATAATAATGCTTCGAAACTGTGCATTTCTGTCCTTGAATTGGATACTATACAGCTGGTATAATATATAATAAAGGTACAAAGAGGGGCAATCAAAATCATTAAGGCTTTCCACAAGGGATGGTTATGATATTTAGCATTTTTTATATTAGAACAAAACTATTTATTACATATGTATATATTACATATATATCTTATAAAATATAGGATATATTTTAGATATATCCTACATATAGAAGCTCACAGTAGCTTACATAGGGCTCTCTTCTCATTTTATATCCATAAAAATAATGAAATAGGTTGATCTATGACAGGGTGACAGACCAAAAATCACTCAGTAGTCAAATGAATTTCTTGGTCAAATAAGGACTTAAATACCTGTTGTCTCAGTACTAGTCTAACATCTTCTCAGTACTAGTCTAACATCTTAACCATGCTACATTGCCTTCCATCAGTGAATAAGAAGGGGTATAAGACATGTATTTAAAAATGGATAGGACAATGTGTTTTTCTCTCTCATAATATTAGTATAACATTATATTACATAATACAATACTACTAAGTCTCATTAAATTAAGTTGAATAGTGGGAGATTTGAGACAGATACAAGGAATTATCTCTTTACAGCCAAGATCTCCAAACTTTTTAATTTGGTGGCCCACAAAGGGAGGCAGGCACTGCTACGTGTGCAGATACAAATGGGCCATGCATGTGTGCATGCAAAAATGAGCCCCATGCGTGCACGCATAAATGGGCCGTGTGTGAGCGCATGCACACACGCAAACGGCCACGTGCAAGCGCATGCACACATGCAAATGGGGCTGCTGAGTTAGATCATTGGACAGATCCACACAACTTTTCTTATGTTCTTGAAACTGAAGGATAAAACTTTAGATATTGGGGCTGAGAATAATGGTACTATGATAATCGCATGGTAAACATCAGTATTAATAATAAGAAAAATAATAATCCTGTGCCATCTTTCTTTCTCCCTTTTGGTGCAATTATATGCTTCATAACTTAGAAAGTTGTGCTGGAAGGCAATTCCAGGAACAAATGGTCTAAAGCAGGGGTGTCAAACTCACGTGACGTGTCACGACGTATTGCGACTTTTTTTCTATTGCCGACAATGGGATGGGCGCAGTTTCAGCATGATGCATCTGGCCCGCGGGCCGGCAGTTTGACACCCCTGGTCTAAAGGTTAAAGGTCTAAACCTTACTGAATCCTGTTGTGATCACAATTGCTTAAAAATACAGTGCTTTCTTGCCGTATTGAAGTAGATTTACATTCTACCTTTCTAGTCAATGTAAGGATGGAAAGCTGCTAACCATCAATGACATAAAAGGGTATAAAAATATATATTCAAAAACATAAATGAAAAAGAATTCATATGTCAAAGTCCAAATGTAGTACCTGGAGGATAGATATCTGCTGGTGAGTAAATGATAAAATGTGGATTATGATTTCATCCAATATGTGCTGGTGTCATGACAACCCCTCCCTCCCATATTGGCACTACAGAGAGAATCTTGTGTCATAATATCAGAACAGAGGCACCATCACTTTAGCTTTGTGATATCAGAAACAGATTATTGTGTCCAGAAGCAACATTGAAGCTTCTCTCACGTATGCCAGATAGACAAGCCTCTGAAAACTACAGTGGGGAGAAATCTATGAAATATTTAGAACACTCTATAATCCTGCAGTACTGTGACCTACAATGTGATTAGAGCTTCAATTAAACCTCGTTAATAGATAAAAGATGTTGGTTAAACAAACAATACAGAAAAGGGTATACTGCCATGTCTTTATTACACGTATTGAGCCAACATTTACTGTCTTTGAAAAAAAAACTGGATTTAGCAGGTGTCAGTGCCTCTAGCCCAGGAGTGTCAAACTCGCAATGTCATGTGACATGTTGCGACGTATTGTGACTTTTTTGTGGTTTCGCTATGATGCATCCTGCCCGCAGACCAGCATTTTAACACCCCTGCTCTAGCCCTACTTTCCTCTTGCAGCTCAACAAGAAAGATGGGAATAATTGCAAAACGCTCCTATAAACTGCAAATTATCAACAAAAACCACCGCTTATATTTGAAAGCTCCCAAGAGTTCAAGAAATCAAAGAGGCTTGATAAAAATGAAGAAAAGAATTTTTTACTGAAGAAGAGAATACACTATGAGCTTGCAGAAGTTAGAACTTTCTTTGAAGAGTTTAAAGACTGCAGAAAGAAGAAAGAATACAACATTTGACCAAAATTAAAGTAATGGGTTGTTATTTGGGGGTGATGTTTAATGGTTTCTAGATGGAGGATAATAGTTATTTCTGGTAATCTTTGTTTTTTGAGTGGGACTGAATGTTATTTGAAGAAAGGAAGATTCAGATTGGATGTAATAAATACAATTTGTAATACTTTTATTTCTGATAACCCTAACTGGACTGTTAATAGGGAAAGTTGAAGTTTTAGACATGGGTTTACAGAAACTGGGGTGAGATATGGAATGAAAAGATATTTGGTTTCATTTTAAGAGATAGTGATAAGTTCTTAATGTTGATTATACTCTACTGCTAAGGATGAAGGGGAAGGTTTCTTTTTGTTTTTCCTTTTTCATCACTTTTTAATTTTTAAATCTTTAATGTATTTCCTTATTCTGTAGTTCTGTAAGTTTTAACTTGTATAATTTTTAATAAAATTATTGGGGAGAAAAAAACAAGCAGGGCTGTTCTCTAACCCAGTGTTTAATTTTTTAAAAACTTCTCTCCCTGAGGTCTCCTTTCCATTACTAAAAATTGAGGAACACCCCCCCCCCGTCGAAAAAAAAAAGCTTTTTGTTTGTATGGGGTTTGTTTGTATGGGTCTATATTTACGGTATTAAAAAGGTCAACTGAAATGGGTTCAGGTAATTAGTTTGAGGCAGATGGGTCTCAATCACCTTTTCCAGATAGGTTTTGAGTCTGCCCTATTATAGCTTAGGTTTTAACAGATGCTACAGCTGGAACATTCGCTAACAGATTATACAGAAATACTGTACATAAAGAGATGCCTATTTGGTTCTGCCCACTGTCTTTTTGAGTTCCCAGGTGAACAAATTTAGAACAGCTCAAACTTTGTAAGGTTAGTAGTCCAGTAACATGTCTGTATATTTTTACTGAACTATAATTATTCTAATTATCAATAGGCCAGTTTGATGTAATGGTTAAGGCATCAGGGTAGAAACTAGTTCTAGTCCCACCTGAGGCACAAAACCACTGTATGACCTTGGGCCAATCCCTCTCTCTCTCAGCCCTGAAACAGGCAAGGCAAACCACTTCCGAAAAACCTTGCCAAGGAAACAGCAGGGACTAGCCGAGTCAAAAACCGACTCGGAGGCTATATATGTATATATTCTGTTACTTAGAATTTATGGCATAGTGGCTCCGACCCTCTCCGAAAACACTTCTTTAACGAAGGGCTCGATGAACTAACACTTCTGCCTAGTGCAGCGACCACCTCCTCTGTTCGGCTACATTTTAAAATGCTGCCCTCAACCCTTTTTTCCTTTCCAACCCTTCCTCTAGAGCAGTGTTTCTCAACCTTGACAATTTTAAGGCATGTGGACTTCAACTCCCAGAATTCCATAGCCAGTATGGCTCTTGTATGGCCTGTGGACTTCAACTCCCAGAATTCCTCGCTTAGGTCATAAAAGGACCAGACTTCCCCCCCCCCCCATCTCTGCTCTAGTTTCATTCATTGTGTACCTGCAAGCGCCATGTTAACTTTCTTCCCCTGCCTAAGAGGTAAAGTACAAAAAAAAAAAAGCGCGTAATCCTATACAGAGCGTCACAAACTAGGCAACCACCTTTTTCCTAACGCCTCCCTCCCTCCCAGGCCTAACGCTAGCCACCACACACACACACACACACACCCCAAACGGACGCCAAGGAGCCGGCGCCCTCTCCTCTGTGACGTGACGCAGCTGCCCCTCCCCTCCCCTTCGGGTCACGTGTGGCGGGATCAGCTGAGCGTTTACTTCCGTTTGCCGGCGTCTGGGTTGCCGTGAGTGCGAGCGAGCGGCCGGGCGCGTGGGGTAGGCGCCGCTCGGAGCGGAGTCGCAAGGAGGATGGCCGCCTCGGTGGGTCCAGGGACGCGCACGAAGACCAAGAAGAAGCACTTCGTCCCGCAGCGCGTGAAGGTGCTGCGCTCGGCCGACCCTCTTCTGGGCGTGCTGGCTTGGGGGATCAACCATCAGGTAATCGGCTTCGCCGAATGTTTCTCGGGCGGGGGAGAATACAGAGCAAGCCCACCTCTTTTGCTGGGTCGCCTCCCTCCAGCATCCGTGCCTGGATAGAAAGAAGGCGACGGGGGGGGGGGTTCCCACGTGTCAAGCCTCGACTGGATTTCTCTTTCGCTTTCCGGGTTGCGGGATCTGTACCCATCGGGACACTTTTTTTGGGGGGGGGGTGTCGTCATCCCGCCCTCTTGATTCTTTGACTCCTAATGTTTCGGAGGGCTGCTCGGCAGTGGTTGGTTTCAGAAAGAGCAGATGGAGGGGAATGAAGGCAAATCTATCTGTCCCAGGGTGCGAGATCGAATTTGGGTCGGTCACCGGGGACCCGGAGATTTACTAGATCTCAAGCTAGAGGGGAGACCACCAGCTAAATTCCAGGGCTGAAAGTTAGACTGAGAGGTCTAAAAACCTCCCAGAAGAAGGCACAAACTGCTTCGGTAATGAGATGCCATGAACTCATCCATGTGTTAAGTAATTTTGTGTGTATCTTTTCTCCTTTTTCTCTATGGAGATTCTCAGTCATGCAAAGGTGAAAAAGCACCTTTGGGATTTCTTTTTCTTTCCTGTGCTCCTGCTCCCCACATCTGGTGTTAGCTATTGTTACTATGAGTATCTTTGAATAGCTTTCCCTACTGTGATGCCCTCCGACTGTATTGTTTTATGACAGGACTAAAAAATATATGGGGTTATCTCTGTTGGCATCACCTTGGGGAAGGCTGCAGTGGGGTTATGTTTTGTCTTATTCTGTCTTATGCTCATTAACATACTTGCATAATTTTCCTCTGTTCTTGCTGCAAACTGTTTTATATGCATGGTAGGAAAAGTATATTTGTATAATAAAATTGAAACATGTAATATATTTTGCACAGATATTTTAACTTAACTTTGTTTCAGAATTTAATGAGAAAAAAATTGTCTACCTGTTAGTAAGTTGACTAATGCCATTGTGCTTAATCATAGTCCTGACTCATATGGGAGGAGATTGTTCCTATCTGTTGAAAGGAAGGAGAAATTGAATAGTTCTGAGTAGGGGCTCTTAACATTTTTTCATACATGTCTGGATTCATATGATATGTTAACCCCTAGACTTGGATGAACAAAAAACCAATTGTGTGTTCATATAAATATGCTCTGAGCAAAGAAACAAAAATTAGTGGCTAATGTGATGTTCTCATCCATACATGCGTCACATGAGGAAAGCACATCTTCCTTCCCCTGTCCTGACCACTTTCTACAGAGGGACGATTGAGAGCATTCTGTCATACAGCATCACAGTCTGGTTTGGAAGCATCACTGCTTCAGACAGGAAGGCGGTGCAGAGAGTGGTGAGAATGGCCGAAAAGATCATTGACAGTTCCCTCCCTCCCATCCAGGACATAGCATAGAAGCGTTGCTTGAGCAGGGTCCCTAAGAGTATCTGGGACACTACACATTCTCTTCACAAACTGTTTTCCTTGTTACCTTCTGGGAGGAGGCTTCGTGGTATCCGTAGCAGAACATCCAGATTCAGCCATAGTTTCATTCCATACAGCATTAACCTTGTGAACTCTCAAGCTTCCTCCTTCCGTTATATATATTCAAGATGGACAGTATTTAATATTTATTTGCTACATATATGTAGGGGTGTGGGTCTATACATATGTTGTTCATAGTATGTTTAGGTGTGTGTCATGTATGTGTTTCACTTTGAGAGCAGGCAACTAAATTTCATTTTTGATGTGTGCCGTTGTGCCCACAGTAAAAAAATGACAATAAAGGTTATCTTATCAGTACATTTAGATGGTGCTGCTGAATGCAGAATTGCTGTGCCATTTTCTCATTACTCTTCCATCTCTTTGACAGAGTCTGACCCCAGGGAATCTCCCCATGAGACCATCGCCCCAGATTTTTTAAAGATATTAATTGTAATATTTCTGGGTTTGATCAATGCTTTAATATATTCTAGAATATCTAGAGTTGTTTGAGCAGGCAGCAGAAAATAACACTGAAATCCCAAGGTTATTTTGAAGTCTGGCCTCATTCAAACTCTGAAAAAAGGCAGCTTTTCATGTGATGGGTTGGAAATGGGAAGGGAATCTGTGGCATCTGATAGCAGAACATATATTTCTGCCTACCAATGATTGCACTTTTTGTTTGTGCAGGCCTCAGAGAGGCAGAGCTTTATTTCATTGTCTGCCCTTTCTAAGCTTCATTAATCCCTTCCCCTCTGATTCCAGCAGTTTTATGACCCCAAGCATATGAGCTTCATGATGCAACACTAGCATAATACAGATTCCAGAATTAAGGAGGTAGCTGGTACGTGAGCCTTACTGCATGCTTTTCTGGGTTGCAAGCGTTTTTGGTGCTGTAGGCTAAGTCTCTTGATGGACAAAAAGCCATTTGCTTCCTTCCATTTTGCTCTTTGGTGCTTTCAGAGTTGGACTGCTGAGTTTGAGTTTTGCCTAAAAATCTGCATGGTTTCTTTTACCGCTAAAGAAACTGGATGAAATGCATTTGCAAAAAATCTGATTTTGTCTTGGCTTCTTTCCCAAAACTGGCTGAAAATATTCCGATAACTCTTAGTTGGTATGTTTCTAGATCAGTATAAATAACTTTTTAATTCTCTGTGCTCTGTTTTCCTCTATACCCAATGCAACAGTTTTTCCTTAGATCAGGGGTGTCAAGCTGCCGGCCTGCGGGCCAGATGCATCATGTGATGTTGCGAGTTTGACACCCCTGCCTTAGATGGTTTCCATTTAGGATTGGCTTCTTTACAGAAGTAATGCTGGCTGATTTACAAAACTGAACCTTGTTTTGTATTGAGAACACTATAAAACAGTATGTTTTAAAATGCAGAGTGGTACAGAATCCTTATCCATTCTCTGACTCATAGCAGTCATACAAAGGAGATGGTAATTTTTCCCATTAAGGAAAGGAAACTAGAATAGACTTCATCCTGATATCACCTGACTTCATCTTAGCTCCAATGCAATGAGCTGTTCTTTCCAGCAGGTGAGTTCAGAGTTCTAAGAAAGGAGAGGTTCTTGCAGCATGCAGAGCTGAAAGTATTTCCCCCAATGAAGAAAGCTGTGATGGGAAATATGGATGTTTTGCTCCACAAAAGCTTCTTCTCTCTATGCTTTCTTCCTTGGCTGGATCGCATAGGAAAGATTCTTGAATGTCATATTGTGGAAATTGACTTATATGTCCTGATTCTGTATGAGTTATTTGCAAGCACTTGTAATCTAGATGGCTTTGCAGTGTGTGACATTTTCTCTTTAGGGGATGCTTTTTTTAACAAGAGCAGAATAGCTGAATGTATGTCATAACCATCTGAGAAATGCAACTTGAAAATGTGATGTTGTCTTAAAACCTTGAAATCTGTTGAGAGTAATATCAATGTTTCTAGATAATAGCATAATGATAAACTAGCTCTAGCTCATCAAATAACATTTCATTACAGATATCAACTAAGCCTGTTAGAATAACTGGGCAAGTACCAAGATTAGGTAGCATTAAACAGATTAAAGTTCCCTTGAAGTAGAAGCCAAGAGCTGACAGGTAAGAGATTCCTGGCTCTTATTCGCTTTGCACATCAGCTTTGCCAACCAATTTGTTCCTTCATCAGTGTCTCATTACCATAGACTAGATATCTATGAATCTATAGCACTTTGCTCTTCTAGGCCTCTGATAGAACTGGAAATAGGCCATATTAGTTTCTAGCTACATGTAGTCCATGACTTACAACCATATTTTTAGCAGCTGTTCAAAGTTACAAATGGCACCGAAAAAAGAGACATGAGTGTTCCTCATACTAACAACCTTTGCAGTATCCCCATGGTCACATGATCAAAATTCAAGCACTTGGCAATTAGTGTGTATGTACAATGGTTGCAGCATTCGGGGATCATGTGATCACCATTTACAACCTTCCCGGCTGGCTTCCAACAAAGTCAATGGGGGAGGCTGGATTCACTTAATGATTGTGTAATTCAGTTAACTACAATGATTTGTTTAACAACTATAACAAAAAAAAAAGTAAAATTGGCTGGGATTCACTTAATCGTTTTGCTTTGCATCAGAAATTATGGTCATAATTCAAGAACTACATCTACCAATTGTCAAGGTTCTTCTGATCAATAAGACCAAATAAATCAGAACTCCGAGGCAGGAAAGTTCCTCAAAGAACATGTTTATTGGATACATAATATCGGCATGTTCAAAAGTGAAACCAGATCTAAACTTTCCCTCCAAGAATCAAAGTGACAAACAATACACTTTGGCCGGCTTTCTGACTTAGCGATCCTCCTCCCCCCCTCCGGCATGGGAATGACCTTGGTTCCCACAAGAGTTGCTCATGTTTAGAATACCAGAAATACCATCTTCCCCCTCCCCCTTCTTGTGGCAACCTAGAACGAAAAAAATGGCTGCTGCCAGATTTGTTGGTAGAATTGACACCAATTTCTTCTTGGAGACCAGGGTTGGTACTTTGGCAACCACTCTTTCCTTGGCCAGGCATATAAAGTCTCTCTGGTGTAGCTGAATTGAAGTAGTCAATCTGAGAGCCTTTGCTCAGATGATAGTGGGTATGATGGGCAGACTTTGAATATATAAGCCCTCACAGCACCCCATAGGGAACTGCTCCAATTTGAGGGAAAAGCTACTAATAAAGATGAAATAGAAGTAAATAAATAAAATGTTCAGTGATGCCGTTTTCTGTCCTGTTCTTGGCAAAGATATTGGCTAAAGATACAAAATAGCTATGGAAAGCCTCCAAAAGATGTATCATATTATTTTGCAGTTTTAAAAATGATCCAGTCCCTTATGTTTTTTTTAAGCTCCAAATTATCATGTCTTTACTATAATGACAGCAACACCTTACCAGGTATGCTTGGTCTAGCCCTTAGAAAATGTTGGTATTATTATTTTGAAAAGTACAACTTTTTGGTGAGCCAATTTAGTCTCGTGGTTAAGGCACCAGGCTAGAAACTGGGAGACCAGGAGTTGAAGTCCAGTCTTAGCTATGAAAACCAGCTAGGTGATCTTGGGCCAGTCACTCTCTCTCTCAGCCCAACTCATCTCACAGGGTTCTTGTTATGGGGAAAATACGAGGAAGGAATCTTAAATATGTTTGCCACATTGATTTTGTGTGTAAAAATAATAAAGGTGGGATATAAATTAAGTAAATGAATAAAACTTCAGAGCAAAGAAGTTGTCTGCTTGGTTTGGGGTGATAGTTAGGTAATTAAGTTAGAGACTAAGAGGTGCTTGCTGGTAACTGTCCTATGACGAAAGGTTTCTAATTGGAGTACCAGCTGAACTAAATAAAAATACTTCTTCATTCAAATCTACCATTAATCATTTTATCTCAAGCATATTGCATTTTGTAGGTTTTTTTACCCAAAAGGAATTGCTGCAGATGCTCCATCCCTGCAATGTGGTCATCAATATTGATCTTTCCAAACCATTTGCAAAATGTAAAAATTGCTCATCCCAGTTGGTTAACTTGACACGAACTGAAGTATTCTGTTGTCAGAAAACAGCCGGAAGGCATGGCACACAGTTGGATTATTTGAAGCCAAATAGGGTCGTCTCTTTATACCACTGGCTTAGGAAGGCTGAAGTACAGAGGAGAACAAATGTGATTACAGTAAATGTCTAGTAGTGCAAGAATATCATGTAGAATCCACCTATATGCTGCTATGATGTCTTTGGAGGCAGAGGTTCAGTACTTTAATACATAATAGTGCCATGTGTGCAAGGCATTGCCCAGTAAGTAGCTTGATTAAAAACAATACGTAACACAGTCCTAAATGGATCTGATGTAGATATCATCAAGCTTGAATTAATTGCTTCTAATTTGTTTTGGAATGTTCAATTCCTGGTGTGATTTTAAACTATAAAGTCATAAATAAGTCATCTGTGGCCATAACAGAACCTCACATAAGTACAATTCACGCGTTATTTAATATTTCTGGGGTTATTTTGTCTTTTTTTGTGATGGCAATCTTATCTTTTATAAGTGCATGCTATTTTGAAAGCTTTTCATAAGTGGAGAGGTTACTAATGAATGCTTATGATATAGCTGTGCTTAAAGGCAGAATTGCATTGTCTTGTAGTTCTGCAGGGCCAGAGAGAAAAATCCTGAAAATGTACATCATTATTTGGAGTTCAACTTCCTAAAAAAAAAAATTAAGCTATCCTTCTAGCCCCTATGATTGTTCAAAGATATCCTTCAGCCTGTCAGAATATTCCATTGTTTTATTATTTTGCTGCTTAAATGTACGCTAAATAATCTGGGGGGTTTTGCACTTTGGATTGTCTTTGTGCAAAACTTCTGTTTTAATGGCAGACCCTTCTAATTAGGCAGAGTGACAGATCAATACAATATTAATTTTCTAAAATATATGTCAATTGAGAATAGGATGCAAAATTTAGGGTACTGTACTATATGAGAAAAACGTATCTTTTGTGTGTGTGTGTGTATGCATGTATGTATGTATGTATTCACCAACTACAGCCCAGTAGATGTCAAGGATCCTACTTGTACATTTTATGAGAGAAATGTGATAATAAGCAGCTTTCACTCTCCCCCTCCCTTAAACAGAAATGCTGTATAATTCAGTATGGCTCACTATAGCTGTTATAATGTTATTGTAAGGCTGGTTTAAACTGGCTCTGCTGCTTGAGTGGCTGCCCAAAGGCAATAGAAATGGAAGATATGAAGAGTGGAGCCACATAGCTATAATTCTCTGTGGCCCATTCTTCTCTGATCCATATTTTCCTACCAGAAATTACAAAGCATGTTTTGTGCCTCTCAATGTGGTCACACTGATTTGAGGTTTATATGCCCATCCCTGTTCGCAATTGGACTTTTGGTGCATTTTCCATATTTTCCTGGCATTATCTCTAAGAGAGATACATTTTCTCTGCCATAGCAAAATTCCCCATTGGTCCTGGTCCTTTTTTCTCACAATCATGTTTCAATAGGGATTAACACAAAGCTGTTACATAAGTTGAAAAACTCCTGTCTGGCTGAAAATGACGTGACAGGCTGCTTTCAGCCACAGGACAAAAGATCATTGATGGTCTTGGTCACGGGCTGCTTCAGATGCCTGTTTGAAGTTGTCCGAATCTAGTATAGAAACAGTCGAGTCTTGGAGGTTCTGTGGCTTCCTGTCAGGCAGAATTACTGAGGGATTTTTCTCTCAAGCCCTTGACCAAACTACCGCTAGCAGAATTGTCTCAATGAAACTGAATCCGGTACTGGGGTGTTGGGTGTGACCTTGTCTGGTTTTACCTTCATTTTTTTCATGTTAGATCAATGAACTCAATCAAGTTCCCCAGCCAGTGATGCTGCTCCCTGATGACTTCAAAGCCAGTTCTAAAGTAAAGGTGAATAATCATCTCTTCAACAGGTGAGAAAACTGCTGGAGATATAGAGAGTAAAGCACATGGCCTTCCTAATCCAAATTACATCCCAATGCAGTTCCACTGCAGTATTTCAGGCAAAACTCATTCAAGTTCTTTCAAATGAGGTCTAGTAATTAGAATGTAGAGATTAAGCTTGACATTGTGAGTTTTGCACAGTATATTTATTTATTTATATGCTTCCTACATGGAATGTTCTAAGGCGTGTGGCCTAATATTGTCTACCTACATTAACCTTGTGGGAAGGATTAATAGCCCTAATTACTCCCAAATAGTATAGCTTCAGGTATAAACATCCCTCAAAAATAGTTTTGCTGGTTGAGATGAAAGATTCTCCTAGTGCAGCCATTTTTCTCTAGTGCTGACCAATGCCGTGCTATTTGAAGAGGCTGGAAGTTGTAATCTGACACATTTGGCAGATATGATATGCTCTTCTAATTGATCTGTAGTGTGTATATCTCTTTGTCCTTTATAAAGAGATTACATTATTATTTATTAAACAACTTTATATAGCTACCCAACTTACACATAGGAGATTCTGGGTGGCTTACAATTGATTAATATTGATTAAGCCTTATCAATATTAATCAATTGTAAGCCACTCCAAATCATCTATTTACAATAACTAAATATATATAAAACACCTACAGTCTAGCAGAAAGCCTCGCTCAGCTAACTCCTGCTTCTAATCTTAAGGGTTTTCTTTTTTCCAACCAGATTATGGTATTAGCTTCTCTACAGTGATTATGATCCTTCTTCACTGAAATCTCCTTCCGCTCATTACTATTCCTTTATGCTGTAATGGAACTTCTTTTATATTTTTTCAAACCTCTACTGCCCTTTAATATGGTTTTACTTGTGACTAGACCGAAAAGGGATTTGTTAAAAGAAAAGAGAATTGAAACGACTGAATTCCAGGAAATGTTAATAGTCCGTACTCCATTATTTTCTCCTCTTTAGGGGCCAGTTTCTGTTAAAAAAAATAAAAAAAAATAAAATACTTTGCTTTTTGGGATTACTAGATAGTGTTATTTGTTTATATTTATTATTTATATTTATTTATATCCCGCCTTTATTAGTTTTCTAACTCAAGGCGGCGAACATACCTACTACTTCCTCCTATTTTCCCTACAACAATCCTGAGGTGAGGTGAGTTGGGTTGAGAGAGAGTGACTGGCACCAGGTCTCCCAGATGGATGGATGGGGAGATATAGTAGGTGTATACAAAATTGCTAGAAAGGGTGGGCTATACATTCCAATAATGCATAATGTAACTGTATATCTGCATGATTCGTTTTTCAGTGCCTTAACTGCAAAATGTTTGAATTGTGAAGTATTTACATAATTTCTTTTTTCTTGTTTTTCCTCTTTGAGTCATGATTGATTCCTGGTGACTGCCTTGACAATTCTTTTCAGTTTTCTTGGCAAGAATTTTGGAAAAAGTTTGCTCTTGCCTCCTTCCTAGACCTGAAAGAGAAATGACCTGCCTAAAGTTACCCAGCTGGCTTCATGCCTAAGGCGAGGCAAGAGGTCATCGCCTCCCAGTTTTTGGCCTGGTGCCTTAAATCATTACATCAAACTGGCTCTCACATAATTTGATTAGGACATGGATTTTACACTACAGCAGTGTGTGTGGTGTGTGTGTGTACATATATGCATATATGATTTAGTCTATCTTTTAAAATACCATTTTAGAAAAGCCAAATATTACACTGCTTGAATCTACCTTCATGTAAAAGTATGTAATTATTTGCTAGTACAAGCTGAGAGCTTGCCTCCTCTCCTGACAGATACCTAATACTTTATATTAAAAGAGGATTCTTCCGCCTGAACAGTAATGTAACCAACCCTCATAATGGAGAATTACACCATGTGCTAGAAGAGGCTGTTGGTGAGAGGATTATGGAGCCCAGGCCATAGATTACTGAGATTTCTACACTGAATTGGCAGCTATTCCTGTTAAAGCCTTGTTCACTTGTCAAAAAGATGGCCCTCCTCATAAAAGAAACTAGGGCCTTTGTATTCACACAAATGAGATATAATGTAGTGTTCTTCTGAAAGTGAGTTTGTTATTTCTATAGCAGAAATGGTTAGGCCTGAATGCCAGATGCGGCAGAGCCTGTAGGTGGTGAAATAGCCTGTAGCACTTCAGGCACGATGGGGAAAACAAACAGATTTTTTTTCTCCATCCGTGAATCATTACAAATGGAGAGCAGGTTGGGCCAGAATATTTACTGATGAGCTATGCTTTTACTTAAGGAGTGAAATAAAAACATTCAATTCATTTTCTGCTCCTCTAAAGTATTTCAGGCTTCTTGTCTGCCTCATTATGCTCTATTTGCAGACTAAACTTTGGTTTGGCATCTAACTATATTACTTGATATATTCCTGCAGGGAAAACTTGCCTGGTCACTTCAAATTTAAGGAGTACTGTCCACAGGTTTTCCGCAACCTTCGTGAACGCTTCAACATTGATGATCAGGATTATCAGGTAAGTAGATACCAAACAGTTTGAGTACCTAAGAGACCTGAGAGTGCAGACTTATTCCAGCTGTAGCCACAGAGCCCCCCCTCCTTTTGGAGGTGGGTTGCCTAATGCCTTTTTCCATAATGACACATTGTGAGAGAGTTATCATTCCATCCTTGTAATAAAAGCAATGAAGACCATATGGCTGGATGTTTTGTTAGTTTACAGGGGTCGGCAACCTTAAACACTCAAAGAGCCACTTGGACCCGTTTCCCATAGAAAAGAAAACACTGGGAGCTGCAAAACTCATGCGTACATGCACCCGCGCCAGAGGGAGGGGCTTAATTAAAGAGTTTAATTAAAAAGAAATAGGGGGTGCTGTGCATGAGTTCTCCCTCCCTCCCTCCCTCTCTCTCCCCCCTCTCCCTCTCTTTCTCTCTCTCTTTCCTCTGTCTCTCTCTCCCTCCCTCTCTTTCTCTCCCTCCCCCCCTCTCTCCCTCTTCCCCCCTCTCTCCGATCTTCTGCTCACCTGGCAAGCTGGCTTCAGGCTGTTCTCCAACAAGCTGACACACATTCTTATTGGGCTGGCTCTCTCCTGCCCTTGGTCTGCCAGTCCTCTTCCCCCACTCCGTGTGTGTGTGTGTGTGTGTGTGTGAGAGAGAGAGAGAGAGAAAGAGAGAGAGAGAGAAAGAGAGAGAGAGAGAGAGAGAGAGAGAGAGAGAGAGAGAGAGAGAGAGAGAGAGCGCTCCTGCTTCCTGCAGAGATGCAGCAAAGGTGGGAGCCCCACCCAATAAGCTTGTCAGCTTGTCGGAGAACAGCATGAGGCCACTCTATTTTACACACACACACACATACAGGGAGAGAGAGAGAGAGGGAAGGGAAGCGCAAGTGTCTCTATCTCTCTGCAAATGGCAGAGGAGGACTGGGAGCTATAGGAGAAGGTTCAAAGAGCCACAAGCGGCTCCAGAGCTGCGGGTTGCCGACCCGTATTTTAGTAGAATTAATTTGATTTTATGTGGATTGGTTGATTTAGCTCTTATGCATTTACTAATTTTACAGTAAGGAGCCCAGTGTTCAAAAGTTTAAGACAAGAATGTTCAGAAAGCATGTTTGAAATTAATCAAATTTTGTAACATATTAGAGGTAGTCCTCAACTTACAACAGTTCAGATAGTGACTGTTCAAAATTACAGTGGCTCTGAAAAAAGTGACTTATGACCGTTGCAGCATCCCCATGGTCATGGGATCATACTTCAGATGCTTGGCAATTGACTCATGTTTATGACATCTGCAGTGTCCCCAAGGTCATGTGATCACCATTTGCAATCTTCTGACAAGCAAAGTCAATGGGGAAGCCAGATTCGCTTAACAACTCTGCTACTAATTTAACACCTGCAGTGATTCACTTAACAACTGTTGCAAGAGAGGTCGTAAAATGGTGCAAAATTCACTTAAATGTCTCACTTAACAACAGACATTTTGGGCTCAACTATGGTCATAAGTCAAGGACTACCTGTACTATATATTCCTCTAGTAATTAAATTGAGACATTGTAGTCTATACTACTAGAGCATGCAGTTACAATTCTTTTATAAAGTTACTTTTGCTTCAATTTAAGAACCCAGAAGAGACTAGTTCAAATCTGTTCTCCTGAGCAAAACTAATGTTAAAGTCAGATTATTTTAATGTTAAACCAGTGGATTATTTTAATCAGTGATTATATTAGCATCTGGTTTCTATATATGCTTGTCTACATACCGGTACATAATCCTTATTACTCTTGCAGACGCCATGATACTAGTTGTTTCATCCATCTAGTACAGTGTTTCTCAACCTTGACAATTTTAAGGCATGTGGACTTCAACTCCCAGAATTCCACAGCCAACAATGCTGGCTGTGGAATTCTGGGAGTTGAAGTCCACATGCCTTAAAATTGTCAAGGTTGAGAAACACTGATCTAGTACAAGCCAGTTAAGGGTAGCAGAGGGGCTAGGAGGCCTAGCTGAAATGTTGCCTTTGTCCTGGATAACGTGCAAGACATACTCTATTAGTGACATACGCTTAGTCTTATTCTCCCACTTGCTCTGTAAAAACAATCATGGTGACCTATCATACGAGGTTAAGGGAAAGGTAGGGAAAATTATTATACGTGAAGCTCCTTGAACTCCTTCCAAAGTATCAAAATATTGATGTTGAAAAAAGGCCAGAAGCGCAATATACCGGTAGCTTAGAAATGGTATGTTGCCACGTGAGAGGTTTATGCATCCAATTTAGCACTTCTATAAGAGTTTCAGGGCAGATGTCAGAATGGGCTAAAAAGAGATGTGGAGAAGGAAGCCCCAGGCCTGGCTTGCTTATAACTAGGTTCTCTCTCTCTCTCTCTCACACACACACACACACAATTTGTGCAGCTATCAGGAGTGTTGTGGAGCTATCCTTTGAAGCTGAAGCAGCCACAGCTATCTCTCCTTGTTTCCTTCTTGTAGAAAAGCACACCAACTTGTTCCTCACACTGTAATCTTATAAGCGTGACTTGTCATCTTGCCCTTTCTGTTTCTGTTTTTTTTCCCTTCGTGACCTTTTGTTTTGGAAGCTGAACACCTGAGTAATTAGAATTCTAACCAGGAAAGAGACGTGCTGTTTTCAGTGTGCCTAACATGTTGCATAGTTCTTAGTCAAGCTCCTCACATTATAGAGTGAATCAAGCTGGGCGAGAGCTCTGTCAAAGATCCTTCGTGTGGTGCCCCACTGGGATCTGCTCTAAAAAGTGTGCCTGCTTGAAGGTGGCTGATGAAGGAGCATTGTCAAAAGGAGTGGAGGGTTCTGAGACCTTGCTTAGGTGAAGCATCTTCTACTGTTCTGCACCTGATTCCCTTCCACAATTTCCATGGTTCTCTTGTAAATCTTCTTGCCTTGTCCATTCTTTCTTTTTCCCAGGTCTCACTGACACGTAGCCCACCAACCTATGAAACTGAGGGTGGGGGTCGCTTTCTCCTATCATATGACCGGACAGTGGTTATAAAAGAGATAACCAGTGAAGATGTAGCTGATGTGCATAGCCTTCTATCACATTATCACCAGGTAAGACAAATTGCAGACATAGTGGCTTCAGGGGGATTATAGGTGAAAGTTCCTTTGACTTGAATCTAAAGATTGGTTAACTGGAAGATGGTTACCGAAGGAAAGTTTCCCTTCTTCTCTTCTCTTCTCTTCTCTTCTCTTCTCTTCTCTTCTCTTCTCCTCTCCTCTCCTCTCCTCTCCTCTCCTCTCCTCTCCTCTCCTCTCCTCTCCTCTCTCCTCTCCTCTCCTCTCCTCCTCTCCTCTCCTCTCCTCTCCTCTCCTGCAATGTACATTGGTAAAAAAGGCCTGACTCTCCAAAAACAGTTGCTAACTAGGGTCAGGTAGCCATGGGGGGAAGGGTCTAGATGAAAAGGTAAAATTTCTCTTAAGTCCAATCTGACTTTACAGGGCAAACATCAAGAATAAAAACCCTGGGTGATTATTATCTGTTCTAATCTTCTTCCAGGGTTTTTATTCCTAACTTCTTAGTCTGGGTTTGAGATTTCCTGGTGGTTTCTGGTATTAACTAAATATAACTCATTCTAGTTTAATAGGAGGGGGAGAGGAGGCACTTTTTGTGTGAATTTTGTTATTGACGCATCCGAGAGCTGAAACGTGTTTTGAAAACATGCTTAGTTTTTGAGCTCAGCAGACCTGAATGTAAATGTAGGCAACTGCAGATCTGTGCATTTTTTTTCTGCTGTCCATAGAACAGAAAATACTGACGCCTAGTCACCGACTAAGGAATTCCTGGTTTATTCCTGAAATTTGAATAGGAACAGCCGCTTGTGTTCTAGCTTTGCTTCACGCCTTGGGAGCAAGAAATGTATTTTTCAGCAGAAAGCTCTGAAGCTTGACATTCATGGGGGAAAAAAAAGATATTTAGTCTACTCTCCTGAGAAACCGTGATTAAAAATGTACTATCCCCCACTAGGTGGTGCATTTGTCCTTTGGAGATTATAGCCAGAGAGCTGTCTGGTCCAGTAATGTCTGATTGTCCTCAAAGAGGCGAATTATGCATTTCCATTTTTCAGATTTGTGTTCAAAATTTGAATCTGAAATGTGCAGGGAATCTTTACTAGTTTATTATTTATTAATAATAATGTTTATTATTGCCTTTAATAGTACTTACAGTATGTACCAAGGGGCAAGAGTGTTTGGAAACTGGATTTCTGTTTGTTCTGAGATCAGCAACCATTTTCTTTTGGAAAGGATCTCATACCACGCAGAATAGTGCCTGAACTTTGACTGTCTCCACCAGTATTAGGGGGCTTGAGAGTTGGCACAACATTTTATAACATTTTTGTCACTGTTTCCTTTCAGTACATTGTGAAATGCCATGGGAGCACCCTCTTGCCCCAGTTCTTGAGTATGTACCGGCTCAGTGTTGACAATGAGGAAAGCTACATGCTGGTCATGAGGAACATGTTCAGCCACAGACTCACTGTACACCGAAAGTATGATCTGAAGGTAATGGAGAAGAAGCAATGTGTGAATCAAGTCTCTGTCTCTGTTTATTCACCTCTTGTGTGGTGCTCACCTATGTATGTGGAGGTAGTTTTTATTTATTTTTCTTTTGATTGTTATCCTGCCTTTATTATTATTTATAAGTAACTCAAGGCAGCGAACATATCTAATACTCCTTCCCCCTCCCGTTTTCTTCATAAAAACAACCCTGTGAAGTGGGTTGGGCTGAGAGAGAGTGACTGGCCCAAAGACATCAAGCTTGTTTTCGTGCCTAAAGTGGGCCTAGAACTGATGGTCTCCTAGTTCCGAGGCCAGCATCTTAACTATTAGACCAAACTGGCTCTCATTGTGCTACTTGTTGTCTAGCTCAATTACCCCCTGATGCATTGTTTTGAAACAAAACAATCAGACAAATGGATTCAGTCGTTACAAGGAAGGGGTGGGCTGGCAGGAGTTTTGGCTCATTTCTCTGACTCAGCCCCTATTCACTGTTGTGATCCAAAATTTCCAGTCATAGCTGTTTAACACAATGACACATGTAGCTTTAAGGAGATGTTGGTTTCCAGATCTTCTTCCCCTGGGGAAGGGGAGGGGGAGGATGATACATGTGTGATGACATCCTCAGACAATTGCAGCAACCTATGTACCTGTAATAGACTAATATAAATATGTCACAGGATTTGCATAGTGACATCTTTGTCCTTATGTTGCTTTAGCATTATTGGGTTTGGTGTGGATGCCACTGCCTCCGTAGCATCCCCTACTCTCCCTTTGGCAACAGAAGGTGTCGAGCCAAGGGAGCAACACACAATTGATTTGGGAAACTGCACAACACTAAGTAGAGTTTTGGTAGCCAGTCTTCTTATCTTGTAATAATCAAATTTCTCAATAAGGCATGCTCTTGATTATTCTATAAAAAGGATAATCATCATCCAGGAGTAATTAAGGTAAAGGGTAATTCAAATAGCAGCGTTTATAAAAGCGGTGCTTCAACTGGCAGTGTCTTAAAATGGTTTTGTGTCACCAATTGGCAGGCAAACATTATTTCCATCTGGTGTGAGACAAGGGCGCCCTTGGGGTCGTTATTTAACAATAAAGCCTCATGCTGTATGTGTTTGGGTACATAGCTCTGATCAAGCTTCTGCCCACTTAACTGTAGTCAGCCCCAAACATCTGGTTTTAGCCAAAGGCTTCACAGAACTAGCAGTTGACACTATTTTTAACCACCTCTGCCTTTATCCCTGACAGAAAGGACAGTGCATTGGGAGGAAGCACCATGAGGTTCAGTGAGGTTGTATTACTGAGTGATACGGGATTGCAGACTGGGATATGCTTAATTCATTCCATGAATCTTCTGCCACTGCCTGCCTGAGTCCCCCATCACCCAGCCACACTGTCTAAATTTAGATAATAAGCTCTTTAGGGCAATAGACTGCCTTTTGCTTATGTAGCATCATGGACTCTGGTGGCCTCTTCAAAGAATAGAGCACAATAGCTAGATGTGTTTCAAAGACAAAATCCTTTGGGAGTCACCTCCCCCACCCCACTACTGTGCTCAATTTGTTATTTTTAAGGTCAGAGATGAGTCCTTAGTCCTAAAGCAAGCAAAGCATTCCTTTTGAGCTTTCTCTAGTCCAGTGGTTCTCAACCTGTGGGTCGGGACCCCTTTGGGGGTCGAACAACCCTTTCACAGGGGTCGCCTAAGACCCTCAGAAAACACATATTTCCGATGCTTAGGAAGCGAGACACCGCTCCTCTTCCTCCTCCCCTTCTTCCTCCTGCTGCCCCCCAGGCGGCTCAGGCGGGCGCCGGGACAAGAGGGGTGCCTGTGGGGGAGCAGCCAGGCTGGTGGAGGGGCTGGCAGGGGTTGCGCGGCACCAGCCCCACTGCGGCTCCAACCAGGCTGGGCGGAGCCGGCGGAACGGCCTTCCTGCCCCCCTCCCTGGCCAGCTGGGTTGGGGGTCACCACAACATGAGGAACTGTATTAAAGGGTCACGACATTAGGAAGGTTGAGAACCACTGCTCTAGTCCTTTCTGTCATAGCTGTGTTAGGCTATATCTGAGGAGAGATCTAGTTCTGATCTGATAGCTGCCTGTTAGAGGAGATCTATTCTGTTTTTCTGGTAGTCTGTTAAACACCGGTTGTTGCTGTATAGATAGTCCTCGACTTATGACCACAATCGATCCCCAAATTTCTGTTAAGTGAATCATTTACTTTGTCAGAAGGTTGCAAAAGGCGATTTACCTGACCTTGGGATACAGTGACGCTCATAATTATGAACCAGTGGCCGAGCATCTGAATTTTAATCACACGATCATGGGGATGCTGCAAAGGTCGTAATTATGACAAATGGTCATAAGCCACATTTTTTTCAGTGCCGTTGTAACTTTGAGTGGTCACTAAATGAACTGTTGTAAGTCGAGGACTAGCTATACTCACATTTTCCATCTGCAGCAGCTTTCCTTGGGGGCTAGTCCTGCATAGCTACCGCTGGAGTTGGGATTTTGGCTGATGAGTAACCAAAGCGATAAGGGCCTTCTCTCAGAAGCCTGTGCTTCATTTCCTGTTCCTTGTCCCAAAAGCCCACTAGGCAGCCTAGATGGCTCTGGCTGCGAACTTCTCCCTCCCCATCTCCTGCCTCAGGATTGCCACACAAGGCCCCTTCTTCCCTTGGGGAATTCACTCAGCAGATGAATGGTTTCAAATGCAAGGTCGCTACTTTGTGCTGAAAAGCTAAGCTGGGAAAACGAGAATGGGTCATGTCCACGCCTCTCTGCCTTCAGCCTGGCTACACATCATTAAATGCTGACCTCAAGCAAGTTCTCTCATGCCAAGGTTATGTGGATAATTTAGAGCAGTGTTTGCATTCACAAGTGTTTTAGGAGGCAACTCTCTGTGGAGGGGATGGGGGCTAGAAACCGGCATTGCAACAAGGCCTGTGGCTCAAAATGCAGCTGGAGAATCACTTGTTAGTACAGGTATTATACAGGATGCAGATTAAGTCACTTGCAGAGGCTGCTAATATATTTCTTGATGGTAAAATATTGCAGTGATTATGCTTAACATGCTGGTTATCCTGAAATTAATGCAAGTCCCAAAAGTCAGTCAGTCTGAGAAGGATGAATGGGGAGAAATGATAGGCAGTGTGAATGAATTGAATGTGAGAGATTTGGGCTGCTTTCCATTTTATGTGTTTTTAATACTTGACCTATTCCTCCATCAAAATTATCTCTGGATTCTGCAAGGGATAGAGTTTTTCTTTTTTCTTTTTCTTTTGAATGAAATTTGGGTCTCTAATAAAAGCCTGGCTGTCTGAAGCGATACCTTTCTTTTGCTTTAGATGCTCATGCTGCCAATATGTTTATAACTCTTCAGAAGGTTATCACATCTCCCCAGGAAGCTTTGGAGCAGGGAGCTAGATTTAATTTGTTGGGTCGTTTCTCTATCTGATGCCAAGGGGTATTGCAATTACTTTGCAGAGTATAGAAGCAATATAGTATAGTTCCCCGCTCAGAAGGTTACATAAAAAAAAGTAATAAGGCAAATAGAAAGGCAGGGCAAATTAGCATTGTAAAAAGGAGAGGCTGTGGGTGGGTGTAGCAAAGGCCCTGAAGGTGTAGAAATTAACAAAGGCATTAGTGAGAAGGATGCCAAGGGGGTGTATCTTGACAGAAGGTTAGAGAGGGG